TCCTTCCTTCCTTCCTTCCTTCCTTCCTTCCTTCCTTCCTTCCTTCCTCCCTCCCTCCCTCCCTCCCTCCCTCCCTCCCTCCCTCCTTCCTTCCTTCCTTCCTTCCTTCCTTCCCTTTCTTTCTTTCTTTCTTTCTTTCTTTCTTTCTTTCTTTCTTTCTTTCTTTCTTTCTTTCTCTCCCTCTCTTATTCTCTCTCTCCTTCTTTTCCTTTTGGGGAAGACAGCAGGCTCCGATGCCTTCTGCTGATCATCCTTGCTGGACCACGGAGGTTTCCCTTTTCCCCTTCAGAGTCTTTTTTGGATGGTGGCAGGATAGATATGTGTTTAATCAATACTGCAGACCTTTGATTCTTTTTAATGTTAAGGGGGCTCTGTCACGTTTGGTAAGAAGGCAAGCCCACCCTTCAAGTCAAAGCTGAAACCCCCTGTTTTTATTCGTCCTTGGTGTGTGCTTACTTACGCTGTGTGGGGCTAACCCCAGGGCAACTTGCAGTGTGTGTGTGTGTGTGTGGAAGAGGGGAGAGAGAGAAGGAGAAGGGGGGGGAGAGAGAGAGAAAAGGGGAGAGAGAAAGAGAGAGAGAAAAAGAGAGAGGGAATGACCTGAAGCGAGTTTGAATTCACCCACTGGAACTGCAAAGAGTTCTCATCTTTTTCAGCTGCCTCCGGTCCTGGTTCCAGCGCCAGCAGACCTGCCCCACCTGCCGGATGGACGTCCTGCGCGCCTCCCTGCCCACCCAGTCGCAGCCGCCCCCCGAGCAGCAAGAAGGGGGGCAGCATCCGCCCCCCCATCAGGCCCCACTGATGCCTCAGCCGCCCAACTGTGAGTCCCCTTTGTGTGCTTCTAGCCCAGAGTTTCTCCTCTTTGAGCACTTAAGAGGGGGCAGGCTTCAATTCTCCCAGCCAGCCCCCTACAACAGCCCTGTGGGGTGGGCTGAGAGAGAGGGACTAGCCCAAAGACACCCAACTGCCTTTCACGGCTAAGGCGGGACTAGAACTCTCTGTCTCCTGGTGATTGGTCCAGTCACCCAACTGCCTTTCATGGCTAAGGCGGGACTAGAACTCTCTGTCTCCTGGTGATTGATCCAGTCACCCAACTGCCTTTCATGGCTAAGGCAGGACTAGAACTCTCTCTCTCCTGGTGATTGGCCTAAAGTCACCCAGCCAGCTTGCCTGCCTCTTGGTTTCTAGTCCGCTTCTTCTTCCTCTTTTCACCAGCATTTACTTTACTCCCTTAGGCTAAAGACCCTTTAAATAACGCCCAACTGAAATTCCTGCTGGCTAGGATAACCCGGTTCTCTTGGAAGGAGTGCTGTTGACCCTCTTCTCTGTCTTTAGTTCCCCAAGGCCTCCTGCCTCCGTTTCCTCCCGGGATGTTCCCTCTGTGGCCACCCATGGCTCCCTTCCCTCCAATGCCGGGCGTCCAGCCCCCCAATAACACCGACGGTGCCTCCGTGGCTGCGTCTTCTCCACCAGGAGCCCAAGGGGCAGGTGAGACACCCCACGGCCGGCTGTTCCGCTCGTGAGCCCTCAAGGGAGGGTCTTAACTGGGCTGCGTTTCCTCAACAGGCACCACCAGACCCAGCGGGGATTCGGCCACCACGTCGGACGCCGCGGCCTCCGCAGGGACCATGCCGGGGTTCCCCTTCCCTCCTCCCCCTTGGATGGGGATGCCGTTCCCCCCTCTCTTTGGTACGTTCCAGGGTTCCTGGGCGTGGCTTCCGACTAAGGGCGGGGAGATCGGAGATCGTTTATCGGCGATTGATTACGACCTTGGCGGCTACTGATCTCCTGGTTTTGCTGCCCTCCTGGGGACTGAGCGGGGGCTGGTTCTTTTGGGGGGGGTGAGTCCTCCTCTTCTATGTCCCCTTCCTCTCCCCGCTTCAGGCTTCCCTCCGATGCCGGTCCCCCCCTCAGGATTTGCAGGGCTGACGGAGGAGGAGCTGCGGGCCATGGAGGGCCACGAACGGCAGCACTTGGAAGCCCGGCTGCAGTGTCTCCAGAACATCCACACTCTTCTCGACGCAGCCATGCTCCAGATCAACCAGTATCTCACTGTGCTGGCAACAATTGGGTGAGCACCTGCTCTCTCCTCTCCCCTCCCTTTCTCTCCCTTCCCCTCCCCTCCTCTCTCTCCTTCCCTCTTCCCTCTCCTCTGCTCCCTTTTCCTCCCCTCCTGTCCCCCCATATTTCTTCTCTTCCTTCACACATATGCCTTCCTTCCTTTCCCTTTCTTTCTTTCTTTCTTTCTTTCTTTCTTTCTTTCTTTCTTTCTTTCTTTCTTTCTTTCTTTCTTTCTTTCTTTCTTTCTTTCTCTCTCTCTCTCTCTCTCTCTGTCTCTCCTTTCCTACCTTCTTTCTTGCTTTCTCTCTTTCTCTCCTTTGCTACCCTCTTTCTCTTTCTCTCTCTCCTTTGCTACCCTCTTTCTCTTTCTTTCTTTCTTTCTTTCTTTCTTTCTTTCTTTCTTTCTTTCTTTCTTTCTTTTTCTCCCTCTCCCTCTCTCCTTTCCTAGCCACCCTCTTCCTTTTTTCCTTCCTTCCTTCCTTCCTTCCCTCCCTCCCTCCCTCCCTCCCTCCCTCCCTCCCTCCCTCCTTAAATTGTGATTCTGGCTAGTTTACAAACAGATGCCCCCCCTTGCTGGGCTGCCGTCTCTCTTGCACAGGATGCCTCGAGCTCCCCCAGCACCTGCCAGTGCTTCAACCCCTTCGACGGCCCCCCCTGAGACCCCGACTAGCCCTGAGTCAAATGCCAGCGAACCCACCACCTCGACCACCCAGCCAGCGGACAGCACCTCTTCGCAAGGTAACATCACCTGAACCCAGGCCGGGGCGAGAAGAGGGGTGGCTTGAGGGGGGAAGCCCCGGAGCGGAGGCCCCAGCGTTGCTCCCAGCACAGGCAGCCCTCGACTTTACGGCCACAGTGGAGCCCAAAACCCGGGTCCGGTTAACCGTTCTTTCCTTGGGGGTTTCCAGACACATCTCCAGACAAAGCAGAGGGTCCGATGCAGCCCTCCAGCCCCGATGAGGACCCCTCCTCCCCGGAAGAGCCCAACGCCGCGGAGCTGCGCAGACGCCGCCTTCAAAAACTAGAACTGCCTTCTTCTCCGTCTCATTGAGCGAGCCTGGCCCGAACGGATTTTATTTTCCTTTCCCCCCTATCCCGAAATAAAATGGAAAATGGATCTCAGAAGAATCAAGCCCACCCCCTCCTCCTCCTCCTCCTCCTCCTCCTCATTGTGGCAGCAGAGATCAGAGGGACCGGACAAAGATAAACCTGGATGTCTTAATTGCGTTCCACCGAGCGCGACGTCACCGGAGGCGGACGGGAACGCCGCGGGACTGCCGCGGTGGGGGCGGCTTGACGCCTTTCGGAGGAATTTAGAGGCGCCTTCTGCAATAAGAGGCCGCTCAGACGTGCCCCGTTGCACTGCTGGTTTCACATCGCTCGTGTCGACAGGACGGAGGCAGAGCCCGCCGAAACTAAGGGTGGGCGAGGGTCTCCGTCTCCTTTGGGGGAAAGAGAGAGAGAGAAAACGGGGCACCGCGATGGTTCTTCGCTTGGAGAATTTCTCTTTAATTTGACACGGCTAGAGCTTTTTTTCTACTACAATATTTTTGCCCCTTGATTTGTTTCCCCCCCTTCCCCTAGGGGCTGGACGTGATGAGCGGGCGTGCATGCGTGCACACCTGAGTGTGTACTCCACGCACACCTGTCAAGCTTTTGGGCAGGAAAGCAGGAGAAACAAACGGAACGGAGAGCTTCTATTTTTGTAAGGGGTGGGTGGGCGGGTGGGATAACCCAACGGATGTCCCTGGATCGCTTCTGTCCTGGCCAAAGTTTTAGGCCTGTTCTCTTCCCCCCTCCTCGCCCGTCCAGCCAGCCAGGGGGTGGGGGGCGAGGCGACGGGGTGGGGGGGAACAGGAGGGCGTTGCACAGCTTTGGAACGAATGAACGAATGTCCCGGCACCGACGGAAGCGCCTCCCTTTTTTTCCCCTCCTCTCTGTGGAGCTGAGCACTTTTGCACCGCAGTAAATCTGTGACTTGAATCTTCCCCCCCCAATGCTTCGTTCTTTGGCTCTTTAAAAAAAAAGAAGTTAAAAAAGGAACGTACCCCACGGAAGGACCTCGTCCGTGCAGTCGGCTCTGTGCTTCATCGGGGAAAAAAATGGTGTCTTGATGCTGCCCCACTGCATTTAGGGGTCCTGGAATTAAGATTTTTAATCTTGGTTCGGACTGCAGCCCGTGTGGTTCGTCAGCCCGAATTGGGATTTTTTGGATATCTGGGCCAGCAAAGAGGGGTTTGGGTCTGGGTGGAACCACACACAAACCCTGGAGGGATTAGCATTTTCCTAGCAGGTTTCCAGTCTTATTTTTTATTATTATTAATCTTAATGGACTGGAGCCAGTGTTTCTCAACCTTGACCATTTTAAGGCATGTGGACTTCAACTCCCAGAATTCCACAGCCAGCAATTTACTGATTTACTGTTCCTCCTCCCCCTCCCTCCACTAATGCTGCTCTGCATTGGCCTTGCTCAGATGCTGTGATTTGGGCCTTATTCCTGTTTTGGTTTCTGGACAGAAAGAGGCCCTTTCCAGGTTTTTATTTTTGGGGGGGAGGCTGGGGGGTGGCAATCATTTTCCACTGAGGTGCAGGAAGGAAACATCTTTGAGAAAAAAGGTGTCCATGGGGAGGGGGAATCTGCCCCCCTATTCTTATAAGTTGCTGTCCTTTCTTGTTTTAGCCATGAAAGTTTGGAAGGATAGGGTAGAATAGGACTGGACACAGTGGAATGGGAAAGAGAATGGAGGAAGGAAGGACTAAGTGAAGGAAGGAAAAGGAATGGAAAGAAGGAAGGACCAAGGGAAGAGGAAGGAAAGGATACAATAAAGGATAGGGAATGGGATGGAATGGAATAGATGGGAGAGGAAGAGAAGACGGTGGGATAGATAGGATAAGACAGACAGGGTAGGAGGACCTTCCATGGCCTTATTTTTTTTTCCTTTGAAATCTCTAGGAATTCTTGACAAACTGACCTCATGTGAGGGCTCCCCTGGCTTGGGATTTTCACCCTCCTGATGTTTTGCTGCTGTTTTTGCCCCCCCCCCTTCCCTCCCCACTCCTGGGGCAACTTCTTGTGAAGGAGACTGGCTTTTCTTGCTTAAAGCAACCTTCCTATTGAAGCACCTTCATTTGGCAGATTTAGCATTTTTCCCCATTTCCTTCTAAAGCCTGCCGATCTTCTATCACTTCTGTGATACTGACTTCAACCCCCCCCCAAAAGCTAGAACTCCTCCCCCCCCCCAGAAAGCAAATCAGTCAAACATTTGTTAATTTGGCTACTTTTTTCCTTTCCTTTTCCTTTCTCCTTTTTTTTTTTTTTTTGTTTGAGGTGCTTTCGTTTTAACTTGGGTTAGTGAACAGAATTATTACTCTTTGGGGTTCGAACTGGCGTCGGGACAGCCGGGGGGGGGGGGGAATGTTGATCTCAATAAAAGGCTTTTGCTTAAAAACCTCTCTTCATCTGTCGGAAGAGGGGAGCCCCATTTTCGTTTAGCGATGAAAATTCTGCTCCCAATTCTGGTCGTAAATTGAGAACTAGCTTGGGGGGGTCCAATTATTGGGAGTTCCCAAATGAAAGGATATTTTCTTTTTTTTTTTTTTTAATGTTTTCAAATTCCCTTTTTTAAAGCCAGTAGATGGTGCCATTTTGCAACAAGAAAATGAAGCTTTTTAAAAAAACAAAACAAAACTGGAGGTTTATTTGACCTTTGGAAATAAACGCAAACATTGCAAAACTCAAAAGTGAAACTGAGCACGTGATAGGGCAATTCTCTGCCTCCTCCTGTGAAAATCCCAAGGTTGGGGATCTGAAAGGAATTTCCCGGGCCAGCTTCCTAGGAAAAGAAAGAGAAAGAAAAGAGAGAGTTCCACGTTTATTCCCTTTAAAAATAGCCATTTATTCACCTACCAGCAGATTAAAACAAGATGGGATCTGCTAGAGTTTTTGCTCAGAAATTAAGAGGTTGTGTGGCCTGTTCACAGAGTTGAAGGGCAATCTCCAGCTCCCCAAATTCTCAGCAGCGGGTGTCTTGACTGGGCAACTCTGGGAGTTGTAGTATGGAGACCCAGAGGACAATCTTCAGCTCCCAGAATTCTCAGTGGTTGCTGTGCTGCCTCAGGAACTCTGGGAATTGTAGTATCGAGACATGGAAGACAATCTTCAGCTCCCAGAATTCTCAGTGGTTGCTGTGTTGCCTAGGGAACTCTGGGAGTTGTAGTACCCAGACCTGGAAGACAATCTTTGTTGCCAGAATTCTCAGTAGTTGCTGTGCCGCCTCAGGAACTCTGGGAATTGTAGTATCGAGAGCCGAGGACAATCTTCAGCTGCCAGAATTCTCAGTGGTTGCTGTGCTGCCTCAGGAATTCTGGGAATTGTAGTACCCAGACTCGTAAGACAATCTTCAGCTGCCAGAATTCTCAGTGGTTGTTGTGCTGCCTCAGGAATTCTGGGAATTGTAGTACCCAGACCCGGAAGACAATCTTCAGCTCCCAGAATGCTCAACGCTGGCAATGCTGGGTGGAGAGCTCTGGGCGTTGAGACTCACAACTGGACAGTGGCGGTCATCTTTCAAAAATTCCAAGCAAACCATCACCTCCAACGTCCTTAAAAGTGTCACAAGAGGATAGAAGGGAAGTTCTTTTCCACCGACACAACATCTTCCCCCTTCTCGACGTCTTCCACCTTCTCAGCCGAAGCAACCAGAGAAAATCCGCGTTTCCCATCCATTAAAGCTGGATCGACTCGCTTCCAGGAACCGTGTAGAACATTTTCTTCCCTACAAAGACATATTAACATCTTGCATTAGGGCATTTTGTATTATTCCCTCTGCAAGGGTGGCTATATAAACCATGATCGATAAAGAAAGAAATTGGGAGCCAATCAATCAATCAACCAATCAAATTAGATGAAATGACATTAGGAAAGAGGGAAAGCAATCGCTGGATACCAGGCTTGATGGCATTTGTAGTCCTCTGGAGATGCCCACCCAAGGAAGAAATCTAGAGGTAGTCGTCAACAACATCATTTAATGACCATTTGAAGTTACAACGGCACTGAAAAAGGTGACATGACCATTTTTCACACTTAGGACCGTTGCAGCATCTTCGTAGTCAAAACAGCCAACAATCCTGGGCTGCATCAACAGAAGGATAGAATCAAGATCACATGAACTTGTTTTTTAACTGCTTTATATTGCACTAGTGAGGCCACACGTGGAATAACATGTCCAGTTTCGGTCACCACAATACAAAAAAAAAAAAAGATGATCAGGGGACTGGAGGCCAAAACCTACGAAGAACGGTTGCTAGAATTGGGGATGTCTAGTTCAATGAAAAGAAGGACTCGGAGTGACATGACAGCAGTGTTCCAGTATCTCAGGGGCTGCCCCAAAGAAGAGGGGAGTCAAGCTATTCAAAGCACCTGAAGGCAGGACAAGAAGCAACGGATGGAAACTGATCAAGGAGAGAAGCAACCTAGAACTAAGGAGAAACTTCCTGACAGTGAGGACAATTAATCAACGGAACAGCTACTTACCCGAATGCTGTTTGTAGCACACGCACGAAAGGACAGCCAGCAAGAAGAAGAACGAGACCACTGGGATGACGATCAAGAGGAACTCCCTGAAACTGTATGTGGTCTTCTTCTCACCTTCTGGAGAACATGGAATAACAGAGTTGGAAGTGACCTTGGAGGTTTTCTAGCCCAGGGTTCCCCAACCCCTGATCTGTGGACCAGTACCGGACCGCGGCATGCCAGCATACAAAACCACGCTCCCTCCAGTCCATGGAAAAGTCTCTCTCCACGGAACTGGTCCCTGATGCTCAAAAGGTTGGGGACCTCTCTTCTAGTCCAACCCCTTGCTTGAGCAGGACACCCTACTCTACCATTTCAAACAAGTGGCTGTTCTTGAAGTCCTCCAGTGATGGAGCACCCACAACTTCTGGTGGCAAGCTGTTCCCCTGGTTAATTGTCCTCCCTGTTAGGAAATTTCTCCTTAGTTCCAAGTTGCTTCTCTCCTTGATGAGTTTCCATCCGTTGTTCCTCGTCTTGCCTTTTGGTGCTTTGGGGAATAACTTGGCCCCCTCAATGGGGAAGCCAGATTCACTTAACAACCGGGTTACTAATTAACCAGCTGCAGGGATTCACTTAAGAACTGTAGCAAAATGGGACAAAACTCATTGGACCACTGTCTCCCTCAGCAAAAGAAAGTTTGGGCTCAGTTATGGCTGTACGTCAAGGACTATCCATAGGTAGGCAACCTTGGCTCTTTTATGACTGGTGGACTTCAACTCCCAGAATTCCCGAGCCAGCCATGCTGAGGGGAAAGGGAGAGGTTTCCAAGCTGAGCCATGCTGGCTCAGGAATTCTGGGAGTTGAAGTCCACGAGTCATGAGGGGGCCATAGTTCCCCCATGCTGGCTCGGGAATTCTGGGAGTTGAAGTCCACCAGTCATAAAAGAGCCAAGCTTGCTTACCTCTGGCCTAGGCTGCTTTATGACTCGTGGACTTCAACTCCCAGAATTCCTGAGCCAGCCACGCTGAGGGGAAAGGGAGAGGTTTCCAAGCTGAGCCATGCTGGTTCAGGAATTCTGGGAGTTGGAGTCCACCAGTCATAAAAGAGCCAAGGTTGCCTACCCTTGGACTATCCATATAGCCCCTTGTGAAGGGGCTGGTTGGGGACTGGGAAACAGGTTAATCCCCAAATTGGCCACGTACCTGAACGTCGTAGACAGGAGTCCTGGAGCTCAACCACCGCTGATTTGTCGAGTACAGGATTGGAGGCCATGCAGGTGTAGCTCACCTGGAGAACTTCCTTGGGATCCAGTTGGACCCTTAGCACCTGGCCCTCTTCCATGCGCCAATGTTTCAGCCCGGGGCTGGTCTTCCCCCCCAGCCCTGCCCACTCGTATGTGACATTAGTCCTGCTGGCTGCACGACAACTCAGAAAAAGTATGCAGGTTTCCGAGGAGGCATTCGCGTCCTTTGCTTCAGGAAACACCCGGATAATTGGGGTAGAAATCGTATCTGGAAGGAGAGAGGAGAAAAATCAGGGGAGGGAGCAATGTGGGGAAGAGGTAATATTTTTTTGGAGGTAAAAGTTTTTATTAATTTTTTTTCCATACACATAATATTGGAAAAATGAAGGAATACCATCAGATGAAGAAATAGTCAAAAAAATACTAGAGTGCGCAGAGATGGACAGATTGACAATGAGACTATGAAAGTATGAGAAAAAGAAGAAACAATATTATCAAATTTGGGACTTATTTGATCGATGGCTAGAGGAAAGAATAAAGGATTAGGAATTTAACGAATGTAAACTCAGACAGCATATTGGTTGAAAAATTATTATTGTATGTATGGGAAAGGGTAATATTTTAGTTCCTTCCCTGGCTCCCATTTCTGGGTTAGGTTGTTGCTGGAAAACAAAACAAATGAAATAAAATAAGTTAAACGTGAAATAAAAGAAAGCGAAACAATGTCAAATGAAGTAGAAGCCATCTAAAATAATATAAAAAGATAAAGTAATGTCAAAGTAATTTAAAATAAAGTAAAATGTGATATGAAATAAGCAAGAAGCCATCTAAAATAATATAAAAAGATAATTCAATGTGGGTGAATTTAAAATACGTAAAGCAAAATAAAGTAAGACACGATGCAACATAAGCAAAAAGCTATCTAAAATATTGTCCTGAAAAACACAACAAAACAAATGAGATAAGATAAGTAAAATGTGAAATAAAAGAAAGCGAAACAACGTAAAATGAAATAGAAGCCATCTAAAATAATATAAAAAGATAATTTAATGTTAAAGTAATTTAAAATAAAGTAAAAGGTGATACGAAATAAGCAAGAAGCCATCTAAAATAATATAAAAAGATAATTTAATGTTAAAGTAATTTAAAATAAAGTAAAAGGTGATAGGAAATAAGCAAGAAGCCATCTAAAATAATATAAAAAAATAATGGAATGTTAGTGAATTTCAAATAAGCAAAGCAAAATAAAGCAAGACACGATGTGAAATAAGCGAAAAGCCCTCTAAAATAATATAAAAAGATAATTCAATGTCAGCTAGGTAATTTAAAATAAAACAAGTAAAGCAAAATAGAGTAAAAAGCCATCTAAAATAAAGTAAGGCAGTGTAAAATGAAGTAAAAAAGCAAAGTCAAAATCAAATACAACACAGCACAGCAAAGCAAAGAAAAAAGCAAGTTGAAATGAAGTCAAATAAAATAAATACATGAAGTGAAGTAAAATAAATAAATGAAGTGAAGCGAAGCGAAGCGAAGGGCAAGGGGCAGAAATGGCTGACTTGCAACCCAGACAAAACAACACTTACATAGTTTACATAATAATTACATAATTCACTGGGTTGATGCTTTTTTGATGCCAGGGGAAAGACTACCCTCTCCCAGATATTTTAATCATTTTTTTAAAACCCAATTTGAGGCAAGGCACCCTGTGTCCTCTTTTTGCAAGTTGGTTTTACTCACCAAACTCAGACAGAAATTCAGCCAGCAAAGGCTATTAATCTCCCATTAAGACCCATCCTCCCCCAAAAGCTAACCAAGACTATATATCAACCAACTTTTGCATATGATATGAGTGCAACTTTTACACTAGTTAACAAAGCGGTGATCTTTGAAGAACACCAAGCTTCTAATCTAACCTTCAACCTTGGCCAGGTTGAAGATGGGTGGAAGGAAATAAGGTCCACCGATCGTCAAATGGCTAAGGCTGAGGAACACGGCGCTAATCGGTCCTGAGAGCTATAGTTTTTCTTTGAACTGAGAATGGAGTAAATCGTTAGGATAATATTCCCCACCATGGGATTAATCCAGGTTGGAGATTCTAGAAGAGACCCAAAGGAACAGATCTTTGTTTCCAACCAAAGAGTAAAAACAGATGAATCAATAGGTCTTCTAATCTGACATGCCCTTTTTTGGGATAGCACAACGTACCAAAAACCTTCAGCTCGAAAACCTGTTGTTTCATCTGTCCTGTGGTATCCACCAGGAGGGCGGAGAAAATCCCAGCATCTTCTAAGTCCACCGGGTTGATCTGTAAGGTGAAGTTGTCGTGGAGTTGAGTCCTTCCGTAAAAACGGGACCGATACTGGATCTCTGGGGTTCCCTTGAACGAGGTGGCCACCAACTCTTCGGAAGGCGTCAAGGAACGCCAGATGATCTCCCGGATGTGAAAATTGGGAGGGGGGCTCACTTTGAAGGCAACAGAGCCCCCCGCTACTCCGACCACCTGCGCTGGTGTGTAGGCCCTCGACAAGAGAAGAGCTGCGAGAGAAAAAAAAATATCTTTACATCAAAGGTGCGTGGAATTCTTCTTCTCTTCTTCTACAATAAGGAGACCTCGTCTCGATTCATGTCTCCAGCTCTGGGCTGAAACAAACCTGGCAAAGAAAGGTAGAATCGTGGCTCTGGAAGGGGACTCCAGAGGTCTTCTAGTCCCACCCCCTGCTCAAAGCAGGAGCCCTCCTAGACCAAGCACCTGAGGGCAGGAGGAAAAAATAACAGGCGGAAGGTCATTAAAGAGAGAAGCAACCTAGAACGAAGGAGAAATTTCCTGGCAGTGAGAACGATTAGCCAGTGGAACAGCTTGCCTCCAGAAATTGCGGGTGCTCCAACACTGGAGGTTTCTAAGAAGAGATTAGAGAGCCATTGGTCTGGCACGGGATAGGGTCTCCTGCTTGAGCAGGGGGTAGACTAGAAGACCTCCAAGGTCCCTTTCAACTGTGTTATTCTGTTAGCATGAAGGAGAAACTTCCTGACAGTGAGAACGGTTAACCAGTGGAACAGCTGGCCTCCAGAAATTGTGGGTGCTTCATCCCTGGAGATTTCTAAGAAGAGACTGGACAGGCACTTGTCTGGAATGGTAGAGGTATATGGTCGCCTTCTTGAGCAGGGGGTCGGACTAGAACACGGGTCCCTAACCCCTGGTCCGTGGATTGCTACTGGGCCGTCGCATGCCAGCAACCGGTCCACACAAACAAGCAAAGCCCATCTGCAGGATGCAGGCAGCACACAAAACCACGCACCCTCCGGTCTGCGGAAAAACCTCTCTCCACGGAACCAATCCCTGGTGCCCAAAAGGTTAGGGGCCTCTGGACTAGATGATCTCTAAGGTCCCTCTCAACTCTGTTATTCTATATTCAACCAAGATGCAGTTGACTGGAGTCTACCCACGTGAATTTAATAGATTTCTCTTACCTGAAGCCAGCATCCATATAAGGAGGACCCAACCCATCCCAGCTCCGTTCTGGAAGACAGCAGAAGCCGAAAAGGCATCAGCAAAAGAGAAAGTAGATGTCACATGATGAAGCCTGTTGTTGTTTTTTTCCCACAGGAAATCCCCTTTTATCACTCAAGGAAGAATTGGGGACTCCCACGGATAATCTTGGGCACCCGTTGCAGAAAGCAGAACTGGGGAAAAAAAAAAGGCAAAAAAAAAAAAAAACCTGGAGGCTGATCTACAAGAAAACTTTGCAAATTCTGATAAATGTTTTTGTGTTTTTCTGCTCTGGTAATTCCCAGGAAAAGGGAATCGAGCGGTTTCAAGAAAGCACCCTTTTTTTTTTTTCCTGCCCTGGAAAGGTTTAGATTTAGCCTTGTGACCCGAAAGATTCCTGCCCTGGTAGGATGGGGCAAATCTAACAGAAATAAAACCCCAGGAAAATAAAAATAAAATAAAATAAAATAAAGGAAGCCAGCCCAAATAACAGTAAACAAAGAGGGAACAATGTTATTAAAATCTGATTTAAAAATAAATACAGGTGGTCCTTGACTTTTGAACACTACTGCTGCTGCTGCTACTACTACTATTACTACTACTACTACTACTACTACTACTAAGTTGGAAGGGACCTTGGAGGTCATCTAGTCCAACCCCCTGCTCAGGCAGGAAACCCTAGACCATTTCGGACAAATGGCTGTCCAGTCTCTTCTTAAAAACTTCCAGTGTTGGAGCATTCACAGCTTCTGGAGGCAGGTTGTTCCACTGGTTAATTGTTCTGCCTGGATAGGTTCAGAGCGATGGTGATCGGAGTACCTGGATCCCCATAATTTGGAATTTTAACGGGAGGAAAATTTTCATTAGGATTGTCTGAATATCGCTTGGATGATTTTACGCAAAGCTAACCTTTCTGCCAAGTTTTCACAACTCTTAACAGCTGACTTGGAACCGGATTCGAGTCTTCACTCGGGCTAGGAGCATGATCAGGCTGGGGCAGGAAAATCTAGCCCCACCGCCCGCTTTTTGTCAACAGTTGGCAAGTCACTTCCTTTTGGCAGCACGCCTGCTGTGTAATGCACTTTGCCACATGTGAGTCCGTTGCATACGGCCAGCCAGGAAGGTGAACAATCAACAAATGCAGGAGCGAGATCCAGTAAAAAAAATGTTTGCAGTCCGAGGAAATGGTTGAGAAGGGTTTGTGGAACTTCCTTGGTCGTGCGCAGTCTACCTTAGCTGCAAAAAAAAAAGGCATGTATGAGGACAGGAATGCTGGATCTTGGAAGAGGGGGACGGAGGGATTAACCTCCCTTTCACACATCTCCTGCTTCTTAGTATAAATCTCTTCGTCTGTCTCTTTTACGCAAGTGTACCGTACATGCATTCACACATGTGAAAGACAGGCGGGCATTGAATAAAATAAACATGCTGGCTGGGGGATTCTGGGAATTGAAGTCCACCTCTCTTAATGCAAGCTGGCTGGGAGATTCTGGGAGTTGAAGTCGATCCATCTTAAAGCAAGCTGACTGGGGAATTCTGGGAGTTGAAGTCTACCCATCTTAAAGCAGGCTGGCTGGGGGATTCTGGGAATTGAAGCCCACCCATCTTAAAGGATGTCGGCTGGGGGATTCTGGGAGTTGAAGTCCACCCATCTTAAAGCAAGCTGACTGGGGAATTCTGGGAGTTGAAGTCTACCCATCTTAAAGCAGGCTGGCTGGGGGATTCTGGGAATTGAAGCCCACCCATCTTAAAGGATGTCGGCTGGGGGATTCTGGGAGTTGAAGTCCACCCCTCTTGATGCAACTGTGCTTGAGAAACACTTAGCTAAATCAACAGACATCGCCACCTCAGCTTGAGGAGTATGGAATACAGCCATTCCACTGCAGCCAGTTAAACAGCCTGAAAATTTAGGCTGTTTATTTTAATAAAAACAATACAATGAACATAATAACAGGTCACAGTGAGCCAAAACTAACACCAAAGCGAATATAACAACTAACCCAAATTGAAAGGGCCACTGTGTTGATTTCTGAGTAGTGCCCTTGAGTTGTTTCCTGTTTATCTACAGGGAGTCCTCAACTTACGACTGCATTTGAGGCCGGAATTACAGTCTTGGCAGTTGTTAAGTGGGTCACCGCATCACGACACCCCAATTTACAACCTTTTCCTGCAGCGGACATTAAGCAAACACCTCAATCTGGAACGAACCCTGATTTCTTTAATGGGTGGTTTGGGTTTTTTTTTTTTTTTTTGCCGGAAACGAGACGTAAATGTTGGAAACAATGGGAGGAAAAAACCACCCCAAAATCGCAGTCAGGGGACCGCAGGATGCTTGCAAACGGTCGTAAATGCGGGTCACTGAGCAGGACTGCAGCTAAAGTCATTTGGGGGAAAGCAGCCATCTTTGCATTCTTTTTTTAAAAAAAATCCTGCCCTTTTTTTGTGCCAAAGTTTGCAAAGATTTTGTGCCAAGCTTTGAGGAGGAAGCAAATGGATTGCCGGGGAGAAACCGTTTCCCTTTTGGGCTGATTCCTCAGCCGTCTCCACCCCTCCTGCTCAGCCACCTCCTGGGGCAGCACCCAAGCTGGGTTGTTACAAGCTGGGAATTAATTGTGGGTTCTAGAGCGGATGGCCGGGATCATATCCTGCCGGTTGCAGACAGCGGGATAGTCATTGCCTCTCCTTGGTGACCCTGAAATGAGACTCTGAGAGGGTGGGAAGGTCAGCCCTCAGCAGGTGCCAGCTCCCCTCTTTCCTCTTCCTCTTCCTCTTCTTCTTCCTCTTCTTCCCCATCCCTCTTTCCCACACTCTCCTCCTCTTCTGCTGCTGCTTTCACTTTTTATTTATCTTTTTTTGTCATTCTTCATCTCTCTCTTCCCTTTCTTCTCCTTCTGCTTCCTCCCTCCCTCCCTCCCTTCCTTCCTTCTTTCTCCCATGACTTCCTTCTCTTTTTGTTCTTTCTTTTTTTCATTCTTCCTTTCCTTCCATCCTCCTTTCCTTCTTTCTCTTGACTTCTCTTGAGTTTCTTCACTATCTTTTCCTTCCTTCCTTCCTTACTTTTTTCTTGACTTCCTTCTCTCTTTTTGTTCTTTCCTTTTTTCCTTCCTTCCATCAACCTTCTCTCCTTCCACCTTCACTTCCTTCTTTCTCTTGACTTCTTTCCTTCTCTATCTTTTCCTTCCTTCCTTCCTTCCTTCCTTCCTTCCTTCCTTCCTTTTCTCTTGACTTCCTTCTCTTTGTTCTTTCCTTTTTTCCTTCCTTCCTTCCATCAACCTTCTCTCCTTCCACCCTCACTTCCTTCTTTCTCTTGACTTCTCTTGACTTCCTACCTTCTCTATCTTTTCCTTCCTTTCTTCCTTCCTTCCTTCCTTCCTTCCTTCCTTCCTTCCTTCCTTCCTTCCTTCCTTTTCTCTTGACTTCCTTCTCTCTTTGTTCTTTCCTTTTTTCCTTCCTTCCTTCCATCAACCTTCTCTCCTTCCACCCTCGTTTCCTTCTTTCTCTTGACTTCTCTTGACTTCCTTCTCTAACTTTTCCTTCCTTCCTTCCCCCTTCTCACTCATCCTCCTCTCCTTCTTCCTCTCCTTCTCCCTTCCCCCTCCCTTCCTCTTCTTCTTCTTCCTCCTCCTCCTCTTCAAGTTCACGTCTTCCTTCCTTTTCTATCACTACACACCATCCCAGCGAGGTAGGCTACGCAGAGAGATGGGGACAGGTTTGAAACCCCCCACTGAGCTTTCCTAGCTGAAGGGAGACTACAATCTGGGTCTCCCGGGCCCACAGCTGCCCCCTTGACCAGCACCGGGCGGGCAGGCAGGTGTCTTGCTCAGCTGTGGCTTGGGGGGCACTTTTTTCAGTGCTATTGTAACTTTGAACAGTCACTAAGCGAACTGTTGTAAGTCGAGGACTACCTGTACTTTATCACTTTTTTCCCTTTTTTGGGGGGGGTCATCAAGTTTTGGACACGTTGCTAGGCGACGGGTGGTCCTCGGATGTCGCCATATCCTAAAAGTGGTACCGTGGGTGAAAAGGTTGAAAAGCCCTGCTCGAAGGTCCCGTCTCTTCTTCTGGCAATAAAAGCAAAGTTGAAACGAAGCCTTTCCCCTCCATGAGCGTCTCCTCTCCTGAGCCCCGGGGCGTCCAGGGTGAAAGGACACCTGCTTGTCCATTGACAGCTGAGTAAGAACGTGACTGGAAGGGCGAGCAGGCGGTGGCTGTGCCAGTTCACTCGTGGGGAGTGGCCTAGTGGCTCCTCAATTCACCCCAAAGGCATCCAAAGGGGCAGGGCGGGGGCCAGGCCCTGCGGCATGAAAAGCCCGGCTCCTCCAGCTTCTCCCCAGTCTGGCAGGACGACACTCTCTCCCCAGCCTGCCCAGTCCCGCGGGGAGCATGACTGGAATTCAAGCCCTGAGGTTCTTCCTTCTCTGCCTGGCGCCGGGTAAGGCTGGCATCGTCCGTTCTCAGCAAGCAGCAGAAGGCATTCCCATCCCGGGTGGCTTTCCCTGGCTCGGGAGATGTTTGGAAAGAAGCTGGAGATGGGAAAACGGGGTGCCTCTGAACTGGGGGGGGGGGCGGGGCACGCTTTGCAAAGAGAAAGGCAGCCAAGTTTCTAGTCCTCTTTCTTTTCTTTCTTTTTTTTTAAGAGGACTTGGTTCGGTTTTGTAAAGCTGAGAGAGAGAAAATGAAGTCAAAAATCATAACGATGACAGGAAAGAAAGAAGAGAAAGAAGGAAGGAAGGAAGGAAAGATGGGTAGGAAAGGAGAGGGAGAGAAAGAAAAAAAGAAAGAAAAAGAAGGAAGGAAGGAAGGAAGGAAGGAAGGAAGGAAGGAAGGAAGGAAGGAAGGAAGGAATGATGGGTAGGAAAGGAGAGAGAAAAAGAAAGAGAAAGAAAGTACGAAAGGAGAGAGAGAGAGAGAACCAAAAGAAACAAAAAGAAAGAAGGAAGGAAAGATGGGTAGGAAAGGAGAGAGAAAAAGAAAAAAAGAAAGAAAGAAAGAAGGGGGTAGGAAAGGAGAGAGAGAAAAAGAAAGAGAAAGAAAGTAGGAAAGGAGAGAGAGAAAAAAAAGAAAGAAAAAGAAAGAAAGAAAGAAAGAAAGAAAGAAAGAAAGAAGGAAGGAAGGAAAGATGGGTAGGAAAGGAGAGAGAGAGAAAAGAAAGAAAGAAAGTAGGAAAGGAGAGAGAGAAAGAAAAAAGAAAGAAAAAGAGGGAGGGTGGGTAGGAGAGAGAGAAAGAAAGAAAGAAAAAGAGGAAAGGAAAGGAGCTTTCTAAGTGTAAGCAATCATTCCTCTGCTAGAATATTTTTGGGAAATTCTCTAAAATATTTTATGCAGTAAGTTTGTCTCCAGCTGGGCAACCAAGCTAAGACACGTCTCTCCTTTTTCTGCCGACCAGCTCTTTCCCCTGCTGTGAAGATCAAGGCCAAAGGCCGAGAAATCCTCTACCTGGCCAAGGGGGAGTCGGTAAAGTTGGGGTGTCCATTTGAGCTGGAACCCCAAGACGAGGGCCCCAATGATCTGGATATTGAGTGGACACAGATGAATGCTGATCCCACGAATTTGGACAGTGTGGTGAGTTTGCTGAGGTCATCCAGATTCAATGCTTATTCCAATGTTTCTCAGCTTTAGCCACTTTAAGATGGGTGGACTTCAACTCCCAGAATTCCCCAGCCATCATGCTTTAAGGTGGGTGGACTTCAACTCCCAGAATTCCCCAGCCAGCACGCTTTGAGATGGGTGGACTTCAATGTCCAGAATTCCCCAGCCAACTTGCTTTAAGATGGGTGGGCTTCAACTCCCAGAATCCCCCAGCCTGCACACATTAAGATGGATGGACTTTAACTCCCAGAATTCTCTAGCCAGCATGCAATTCTCAAATATTGACTCAGCAGCTAGGGAATGCTGGGAGTTGATGCCCGCCCAGCGTGACGTTGCCAAGCTTAAGAAACCCTGTTCAAGCTTTGAAACTCACATCTTAAAGATGGAACCTTCTTAAAGTTGGTTACACCACTGACGTTTAATGGATATTATTTTTATAAAACAGAAGTTTTATAACCAAGAATCCAGGGAACAATTATAATTAATATCTATTCATTGATCTTATTGGTAACTTGTAGGCTGCTGGATCAGCCTGATTTTAAAACCTTTCTTATGGCAGTCATTAAGTCAACCAACGGTTGACTAGGGATGTGCTTTTTTCCAAAATGCATAAGTGTGTACCAGTTTTTGGTAAAACCGGCACAGAACGTGGTCACGTGACCACAGGATGCTGCCGTAAACATGCCTACGTTGCCAAGCCACCAAAATTCAGTCCTTAGTTCCCTTTTTCGTAAATGGAGGACCACCCATATACACTTTTTCAAGACTTCATCCTAATGTCCCCTTTCCTGATGCTAATGCATTGGGAAAATTAATTAGAATAATTAACAGTCTAATTCTGGTTGCTGCACTTAAGATTACTTTATTGGATTTTGCAAAGTCGAGAGAGAAAAAAACGAATCGAAACTAATCATTAAAATAAACAAACTTTATGTTCGGATGGGAGGACGGCACCATGAGATTTGCAGACTGGCCCAAAAAGGAGAAGAGGGCGTGTGGTCCAATTTCCAGATCAAAGTGAAGGATTCAATTTGGTCGTTCTGCAAAAAATGCCGCAAACAGATCTCATTTCTCCTTAAGCCAATCAGAAACCTCTTTTTCTTTTTTGTTTTGATTCAACAGTGTTGTTCTCTGCTTCCTGCCCATCAGATCTTGAGCTATCAAGGCCATCAAGTGATCCAGCCGGGATATCCATATTTGCACCCCAGGGGAGGGTCAGGAAACCAAGATGCCAGCCGTTTTAGTAACCCAGGATTTCAGCAGAACGAAGGTGGTCACCCGTTTGGATTGGCCAATGATTGCTGCAACGGCTTACAACAGCGAGTTAACTTCGTGGTCCCCGATCCAAGCAAGTACGACGCATCCATTAATCTCCAAAACGTTCAGATTTCCGACTCGGCCACCTACGAGTGCAAAGTAAAAAAAACTACGGTAGCCACCCGGAAAGTGACCGTCATGGTGCTGGGTGAGTGAGTGACAGCAGCACAGCTCAGGGGACAAGTGGGTGGCTGTGGCCAATGGCCCCTTTACACAACTGTAAATGGGCCCTTTACACAACTGAATGTGCAAAAATGTGGGGCTCTCGTTGGCCAACTTTCTGCAAAGTCCCACCTTGTGCCGTGTTTTGATTCCCAGCATCAACCTGTGTTTGTGCTTAGTTGGAGATAGGGCAAAGAGACACTAGCAAGGGAACATCAGACACGTGATAGCTGAGCCCTCGGCTGGATAATGGACAGGCACCCTCCCTAGTTTGTGGACTGTAAAGGGGAAGCAAACTCTAGATCTATGGAAAGAGTTCAGAGTGTGTGCAAGGATATGGGGGAAGACTTGGGAGATGGAGCAAAGAGACCCTGCTCAGAAATGGTCAGATAAGAGACAGCAGAGCCCTCAGCTGTGTAACAGGCAGGGCGAGAGGCTCAGATTGGACCCTCCCTAGTTTCTCAGGCTGTGAAGGAGACGGCGGGAGAGTTGTACTTCCAGACTGGCAAGATTCTGTCCGTGTAGCTTTACACAAACTAGAATTGGCTCATCCAGTTGTGATTCCTGTCTGCTTTACCTGGCGAGGTTGACCATGTTCTTGACACCCCGTTCGTGGCCTTCTTCCAGAGAAACCCTCGACGCCACATTGTTCGATCTCAGGCAAGGTTTTCCTCGGCAATGAAATTATCCTCCGTTGTGGCTCCGGAGCTGGCAGCCACCCGCTCATGTACCGCTGGACCAAAATGGCAGACTTCCCCATAGAGAGTGGGCTGCCCGCCAGCACCGTGGCAGGTAAGATAAATAGAGGGAGTGCCCCCAAATTGGGGTGATGGGGTGCAAGAGGCTTCATTGGGAGAGGAAGCCCAGGCCTCAGGAAACCACGAGGAAGAGAGGAAGCCCAGGCCTCCGGAAACCACGATGAAACTGGTTTGTTTAAAACCCTCCTCGCGTGGCTTAAAACTCCCTGCTTAGAGCGCCAATGGAGTGTTCTGGGAGGTGCTGGATTACAATTCCCATCAGCCACCGCCTGAAAAGGACATTGTGGTTTAACACATCTAAAAGGGTGCCAGGCTAGAGAGCAAATTTCATATTAAAGAAGAAATAATGTTTGCCGTTCTTTATTCCTTTTCCTCCGTCATTTTAATTATATTTGGTTTAGTTTTATTTTTCGCCACCCAGAATCAATTTGGAGCTGGCTGGTGCCTAAATTGAATAAATAAAATTGAAAAGGAAGAAACAAAATATAAAGGAAACTTCTGGGATAGAAGGATGGAGAGATGGATGGATGGATGGGTGTGTGGGTGGGAGGGTGGATGGATGGATGGATGGATGGATGGATGGATGGATAGATAGATGGATGCTTGGATAGACAAATTGTTGATGGATGAAGGGATAAACTGATATCTGGATGAATAAGTAGATTATGAGATAGATAGATAGATAGATAGATAGATAGATAGATAGATAGATAGATAGATATGGATGGGATAGATAAATAGATAGATAGATAGATAGATAGATAAATAGACAGACAGACAGACAGACAGATAGATAGATAGATATGGATGGAATAGATCGATAGACCGACAGACAGACAGAGGATGGATGGATGGATAGACAGATAGAGAGATACCCCCTCTTTTGATAGATGGAAGGATGGATGAGTAGAGGAATAGATGGAGATGGACAGGCAGGCAGACAGACAGACAAATGTACTTTTGCACATTTCTTGACTTTTCTCTCCTCTGAAGGTTCCAGTCCTGGGGATCTGGTCATCCACAAAGTATCACCTAACCATCTTGGGGTTTACCAGTGCATTGTCTCCAACAAAGTCGGATCAGCTCGGTGTACATTGGAGGTCTCACATGGTAAGTGGAAAGCATTTTCTGTCTATTTTTCAAGCCCCAGGCTTGAGCGATGGAAGAAGGAAGGAAGGAAGGAAGGAAGGAAGGAAGGAAGGAGTGGAAATCTTCAAAGAAAGAAGACCTGAGAAAAACAATATCATATTCTAGAAAGATATCCAGATCACAGTTCAATTAGCAAATGTAGCCAGCATCTTTCACTGGGACCCATGATCACAGCCCGCCAACGTTGTCTTACTTCGCTGTCCTCAACATCCTCTCTCTCCTCCTCCTCCTCTTCCAGATTCCCCCCTCCTGACTATCATCGTGGGAGCCGTCCTGGGCTCACTGCTTTTCCTGGTGCTCCTCATCTGCCTCATCGTCTGTCTGGTTCACTGTTGCAAGAAAAAACGCTGCAAGGAGGAATCCAACCAAATCAGGTGAGGGGGGGGAGGCCAAGGAGGGAGGGGCTTGGGGGGGGGGAGATGGGGGAACAGCATCCGGGAATGACCCTCCGGGCGGGCCGTGTCTGCTCTTCCTGAATTTGTCATGGGGTCAGTTTTGAGGACCTCAAGTTCCTTTGCAGAGCCCCGGGAGACTCAATAAATGATGCTGTCATCATAAGGGCCATTAGCCCATACAGAACACTGGTGTGTTTTTGTAGCATCTCCTTTGAGCATCTTTTATTTATTTTGTCAAATAAATGAATGTTCCTTGGGTTTCAAATGCCTAATCTCCACGGGGATTGAAACCTCTTGTTCAAGAATCCAGAACTTTCTTTCCTCCCTCCCTCCCTGCCTTCCTTCTTTCCCTCCCTCCCATTCCCTTCCTTCCTTCCTTCCTTCCTTCCTTCCTTCCTTCCTTCCTTCCTTCCTTCCTTCCTTCCTTCCTTCCTTCCTTCCTTCCTTCCTTCCTTCCTTCCTTCCTTCCCTCTTTTTCCTTTCCTTTCCTTTCCTCACATAATTCCTTTTCTTCTTTTCTTCTCCTTTCCTTCTTTCCCTCCTTCTCATTCACACAGAATTTTTCCTTCTCCTTCCTTCTTGCCTTCCTTCTCTCTTTTCTTTCACACACAAATCCACCTTCCTTCCTTCCTTCCCTCCCTCTTTTTCCTTTCCTTTTCTTTCTTCTCCTTTCCCTCCTTCTCATTCACACAGAATTTTTCCTTCTCCTTCCTTCTTGTCTTCCTTCTCTCTTTTCTTTCACACACAAATCCACCTTCCTTCCTTCCCTCCCTCCCTCTTTTTCCTTTCCTTTTTTTTCTTCTCCTTTCCTTCTTTCCCTCCTTCTCATTCACACAGAATTTTTCCTTCTCCTTCCTTCTTGCCTTCCTTCTCTCTTTTCTTTCACACACAAATCCTTCCTTCCTTCCTTCCTTCCTTCCTTCCTTCCTTCCTTCCTTCCTTCCTTCCTTCCTTCCTTCCTTCCTCCCTCCCTCCCTTCCTCCCTTCCTTCTAAGATTTCTTCCAGTGAGGAGGACCAGCAGGGTTAGAACCTAGGTATCCATCTGAACAGGATGCTTTAATTTAAATTCTCGCACCGAGCAGTGGTGAGACTGGATGGCCTCAAGGGTTCCTGATTGCTTCCATCTCCAGGCTTCTACAGCTGTACAAAATGCCCTTTAAGGCTGTCCTTTCAGCCGCGTCTCTCTCTCTCTCTCTCCCCCAGCTGGGCTTCCTTAGAAAGAGAGGATAAAATTGCACGGAGAAGAAAATAAGGGTTTTTTTTTCCCCTTCCCCTTGCAGAGTGGACACTGCTGCCCCCAGACCCAGACAGGAAAGCCGCAACAGCAGCTTAAGATCCGTGTTGGGGTACATTCCCCATAACATCAACTTCATGCAACGCCGGAAATATGAGTCCCCCCGGGAACAAGAAGGGGTCGAGATGCTCTCTCCAAATCAGGACCCAGAGCTGAGTTCGAATTCCTGCACCTCGCCCCCGGCCAGTGGCCATCCTTCAGTGGTCACCACCAAGGCCCGTGTTCATTACGACGCCAGCGGGCCTTCCTACAGCCACGGAAGATCCGCCGCTTCGGGGTCTTCTAACACTCCATGCCACGAGAGTCCGAATTCAGATGCCCCAGTTTGTGACCGGGACGCATCGCACGGAAAACGGAGCCACCCCGGACAATATGGAGGCGTTGCCGTAATGATGCCAGCTAAAACCCGCGAGGGACTCGTCATTTAAGCGTCCCGCTCTTGATTTTTTTTCCTGGTCAAAGTCCCAAAATGGCAGAGAATTGGATGTAAACTTGCAGCAGGTTATTTTTTTTTTTTTTTAAAAAAATGCAATAATTCAGTGTTTTCCGATCTGCTGCCTGGAGACCACAATTCTAATTAATTAACCAGCGGAACAACTTGCCTCCAGAAGTTGTAAATGCTCTGAAGTTTTTAAGAAGAAATTGGACTCCCATTTGTCTGAAATGGTATAGGGTTTCCTGCCTGAGCAGGGGGTTGGACTAGAAGACCTCCAAGGTCCCTTCCAGCTCTATTCTATTCTATTCTATTCTATTCTATTCTATTCTATTCTATTCTATTCTATTCTATTCTATTCTATTCTATTCTATTCCAGACAGACAAAGCCAACATAGCTGGTGATATATCAGCAGGAGCTGATGCAGCCGTATTAAACACCAAATTGCGGAAAATGGACACAATTTATTATATGATTTCCCCCCCCCCCAGCATGGAGGAACACTTTTATTTTTGGTTTTCCTCTGTTATTCACTTTTAATTTGAACTGGCCCCACCTTTGAAAGGATGACGTCAATCAAGCCCAGCATTGCATTACCATCTGTCAAAGAGTCAACCAGATGTTCAGACCGGATTTTGCACTCCTGTCTGCCTATCAAATCCTTCCCAAGAACTTATCATTATTATTATTACTTGTCTCTCCCAAATTTGAGAATTTGAGTTCTTGAATTTGAGAAAGCTTTCTCCCCCCCCCCCAAATGTGACACTTTTGACTCCAGCTTTGGTCGTGCTAGAAGATTATTTATTAAAATGATATAGGGCACAATCCAGCCTGTGATTGACAGGCTGACTCTAGTGTGAGTTTTCGTGGCGTTCAAGGTAGAAATAAGTCATTTGTTAATGTTTTACCGTCGGAAGGAAAAGGCGTAGAAAACCTCTTAATAAACAAGATATTGTTACCAAAATGACTCAGGTCCTGTTTTTACAAATAGCCAATGAAACATACACCAATCATTAAAAAGGGCGTTGGAGTGTCGCTCTCTTCCTAGCCTTATTGTGTAGCCAAATGGATTTGTGTTTTGTCAATTTCGGCAAAGAACAGGTACTCCTTGACTTACGACTGCAAATTGCTTTTTTTTTTTCAGTGCAGAGGTAACTTCAAACAGTCATTAAACAAAGTTGAGGTAGTCCTTAACTTACAACAGTTTGTTAAGTGATGTTCAAAGTTACAACGGCATTGTAAAAAGTGACCTATGACCGTTTCCCACACTTAAGACCATTACCGCATCCCCAGGGTCACGTGATCAAAAATTCAGACACTTGGCGACTGACTCCTATTTATGACGGTCGTAGTGTCCCACGGTCATGTGATCCCCTTTTGCGACTTTTAGACAAACCAAGTCAACGGAGGAGCCATTGTCGTTTAACAACTGTGTCACTGATTGGATAACTGCAGCAATTCACTTAACAATGGTGGCCAGAAAAGTCGTAAAACGGGGCACGGTTCACATAGCGACCGTCTCATTTAGCGATGGAAATTTTGGGCTCTGTTGTGGTCGTAAGTCGAGGATTCTCTGTACTTCACTAGATTGGCCTCAGTCTTGCAAATCTGAAAGAACATCTCTGCCCCCCCCTTGCTTTTACAGCCGAGAAACTAGGGGGGGGTCCCACCTGAACATTTCCACTCTGTTCCTTCCTATGAGGCTCAGCCCTCTCTTTTCTGAGTAGTCTGTAATTCTTCCTCCCGTCTCCAGAAGTCATTCCCACATACCATTGTTGTTGTTGTTAGTTGCAAAGTCGTGTCCTAACCATCGCAACCCCACGGACCACGTTCCTCCAGGCCTTCCTGTCCTCTGCCATCTTCTGGAGTCCTTTGAAGCTCACGCCTGCTGCTTCAGGGACTCCATCCAGCCACCCCATTCTCTGTCGTCCCCTTCTTCTCTTGCCCTCCATCTTTCCAGCATTAGGCTCTTCTCCAGTGGGTCCTTCCTTCTCATTAGGTGGCCAAAGTAGTTGAGTCTCAACTTCAGGATCTGGCCTTCTAAAGAGCAGTCAGGGTTGATCTCCTCTAGGACTGACCGGTTGGATCGCCTTGCAGTCCAGGGGACTCGCAGGAGTCTTCTCCAGCACCAGAGTTCAAAGGCCTCCATTCTTTGGCGCTCGGCCTTTCTTAGGGTCCAACTTTCACAGCCGTACATTGCAACTGGGAAAACCCTGGCCTTGACTATACGCACTTTTGTTGGCAGGGTGACGTCTCTGCTTTTGAGCATGCTGCCTAGATTGGCCACAGCTTTCCTCCCCAGGAGCAAGTATCTTTTAATTTCTTGGCTGCAGTCCTCATCTGAGGTGATCTTGGAGCCCAGGAAGATAAAATCTGTCACATGCCATTAGACACCCGTTTTTGGAAGTCTGACTTCTGAAAAATCTGCAGTGCTGCCCCAGGGCCACTAGGTGGCAGGAAGGACCACAATACAGGTCGTCCTCAAACTTGCGGCCACAAGGGAGCCCCCAATGTCTCTGGCTGAGCAAGGCAGCCGTTAAGTGAAATTTGCCCCCATTTTACGGCTTTTCTTGCCCCACTTTGTTAAGTGAATCACTGCCCTTGTTATGTCCATAAACACTGTTCTTAAGTGAATCTGTCTTCCCACTTGACTTTGCTTATCCGAAGATCGCAAAAATGGATCCCGTGAACCCGGGACACTGCGACCGTCATAAATAGGAGTCCGTTTCCAAAGGTCTGGATTTGGATCACGTGACCGTGGGGAATGCTGCAACGGTCATAAGTGTGAAAAACGGTCCTAAGTCCCTTTTTTCAGTGCCGTCGTAACTTCAAACAGTCACTAACCGAACTGTTGTAAGTTGAGGATTATCTATAGTACCTGGAGATGTTTATACGCGAGCGGAATTTTTCCCAGGATCCTATCTGATTTCTTCAGCAGCTACAAATCAAGGTTCCCACTAGCCATACCTCCCAGGCAGGGGAATCTTGAGGACTAGAGACCCTTGAGATAGCTTTATTACCAGTGTGGACTTTTTTTTTCCGGTGATCTTACCCGATCTCTTGAAGAGAACAGCAAACTGGATGAGATGACTGTTGTAAGTTGAGGACTATCCGCAAACCTAGTTTTTGTTTTTTTTTCCCTCAGGAAATGCTTGACTAATGGGCTGCCGGAGAAACTCCCAAATTTTAAAATGACAACGGGGTGATTCTCAAAACAGAATTAACCCATTTTCTGGCTGGCATTTCCTGAATCGTAAGCCAGCCTGAGAAACTGGCTTGTTTGATCACCAAACCAACAAACAAACCCTTCCACGTTCAGACTGGACCTCGTTTAATGTGGAAATGTGCGTGTTGGGTTTTTCATTTTCAAAGGACCATCTTCATTTCTTGGGCCGTCAAGGCAACAGACTTTTGCGCTTTCCAGATGCTGTTAACACAACCCGAGAATCACACAGGGATAGCCCTCCACGTACGACCAAACTTTCTGCCACTAAGCGAGACGGTTGTTAAGGGAGCTATGCCCCGTTTTGTGACTTTTCTTGCCATCGGTGAATCACTGCAGTTGTTAAGATAGTCACACGCTTGTGAAGTGGGTCTGGCTTCCCCATTGACTTTGCTTGTTGGAAGCTCGCAAAAGGGGATCATGTGACCCCAGGACACTGCAACCGTCATAAATATGAGTCAGCTGCCAAGCATCTGAGTTTCGATCGTGTGATCATGGGGATGCTGCAACGGTCGTAAGTGTGAAAAACAATCATAAGTGCTGTTGTAATTTCAGACGGTCACTAAAGGAGCTGTCATAAGTCGAGGACTATCTGTATACGGGTAGTTTTCAACTGGTGGCTAAAGTTGGGACTGGAATTTCTAAGCAACGTGGAAACACAATTAAGATGTTAAGAGTTCAATCTTTTCTAGAAAATATTTTATTATTTTTTTTATAATGACAAATCTTTGGGGCTTAATAAACGTGTTGTCTGGGTCCACATATTTAACTTGATAATGCATTTTAAGTTCCTACTCTCTACCCCATTTTTCTAGCCACTAGTAAAATACACTCCACGTTTGAAAGTATTCTGTATCTTCTTTCCTTTTCATTTTCAGAGTCCAAAATTTTCTTAATTATCTCTTCTTCAGCTGGTATTTCTTCATTTTTCCCATGCTGTGCAATTGAATATTCTCACTGCTGTTTAAGACATGCAACATTAAATATACACATTCTTTATCGTAATTTCCGGAGGTGATACCTAAAAGAAATAATTCCGGCTTAAAATCGACGTGTTTTCTTAACATTTTCTCTAACCACATTGACCAATTTTTTTTTTTTCTCTTTAGGGCATGGCCACCAAAGGTTGGCTTTTGCCTACATTTCCAACAATTGCTGGACATATTTTTAAACGTTTTTGCGAACCTCGCAGGCGGTAGATGCCATCTGTAAAACATTTTATGCAAATTTTCTTCGTAGGCAGTTGCCCTGGTTCTTTTCCCAGTTTCTTTCCCGCGGATTTTGCCCTCTTCCTAGCTCTACGTTGTGCCCGTTGTGCTCTTGTTGAGAGTTTGGTCTTGATCCACAATGCAAGCTGAGTCTTTTCTCCAGGGTGACGGCAGGTCACACCTGTTGCTTGAGCAAGCATGAAACAGCCTAATATGATGGATAATAATCAGTAATTAATGGCCAGGTGGTCAGATGGCTTGATCCTTATCCAGGATTGATCCTTATCAATGGATCATCAAAAAGCTTTTTGAACTCTATGCCCATCTGATAGAGTGGATCACCCTGATCCAAGTTCGTGGAAGTTTTCACAACAGGCTGAGTGTGATGGTTTTTAACCTGGTTTGTTATGTTTTGCTGTCCAAATGGAACTTGTATTCCTACTGGGTGATTCATTAGCAGGAAAAGACTTTGACCTGGGGGAGACTAGACCCGATCTCTCCCCCATGGAATGAAATGAGATACCTTGCAGTCAATCTGAGTGAGTTTGCACCCTTCTCCGGTGTGTGCGTAAGGATCTCTTCCCCTGTTGATTGGGGAGATCCAGTGGGAAGTGGATCAAATGTCAGATCAGATCTATGTTCTGAGGGAACTTCATCGGTTGAATTGGATCAAGTTTCTGTACTCTGCGGAGGGTAACCGAAGAACAGAATAACAACAGTGGGAAGGCACCTTGGAGGTCTTCTAGTCCACCCCCTGCTCAAGCTGGAGACCCTAAGGCAGTGGTTCTCAACCTGTGGGTCGGGACCCCATTTGGGGTCGAACGACCATTTCACGGGGGTCGCCAAACAACGCAGTCCGCCATTTTTTTCCCCCTTTTACTTAGCTGTGCTACTCCCTTTTATTCTATTGGCTTTTGAAAGCCAATAGAATAGACTCTCTTGAATAGAGTCTAATTCTATTGGCTTTCAAAAGCCAATAGGAATTGTCCAGGCTGTCTCTGCCCTGCTGAGCCCGCCAAAAGTCCCATTCTGCAAACGGTGCTGCACCAGTTGAGTAGTCCTCGACTTACAACCGGTTGGGGGTCGCGGCATTAAAAAGGTTGAGAACCACTGCCCTAAGGCCTTAATTTTGATCACATGGGATGCTGCAATGGTCGAAAGTGTGAAACACGGTCCTAGGTTCCTTTTTTCAGGACAGGTAGTCCTCGAATTACAACGGTTCGTTTAGTGACTGTTCACAGTTACAGCAGCATTGACAAAAAGGGACTTATGACTGTTTTTCACAGTTACGACATGGGCAGCGTCCCTGTGGTCACGTGGTCACAATTCAGACGCTTGGCAAGCTGACTCACTTTTATGACGGTCGCAGCGTCCCAGGGTCACGTGATTCCCCTTTTGCGACCTTCTGACAAGCCAAGTCAAGGGGGGAGGAAGCCAGATTCACATAACGACCGTGTGACTAACAACTGCAGTGATTCATTTAACAATGGCAGAAAGGAAGGTCGTAAAACGAGGCAAAACTCACTTAACTAATATCTCACTTAACTCACTGAAATTTTGGGCTTCGTTGGGGTCGTAAGTTTGAGGATGACTTTTACTGTTGTAACTTCGAACGGTCACTAAACGAACCGTTGTAAGTAGAGGACTGTCCTTATTGGCTTGAAACATACTTTCACACTGGAGTCACACACTGGAAAGTTGGCTGGCCGCAGTGATCAAAAACCCAAGAGAGAAACTGCCAGCTTCAGCTGTTCTTTAGACAACATTGGAAAGATTGTGATTACTAACCACATCAGTTTCGGCGTGTTTTTACCCAGAACCCGCAAACAACAGGAGTTGTCCCCATACACCTCCTCCAGACGCTAGTAAGTAGGTCAAAGCAGATGCATATCTAAACCGATTGACCTAATTCTTTGGGATGACAACTTGCAACGTACTGACCGAATCAGCTGTTGTGTCAAAGACCTAGATAGGAAATACGTAAACCTCAGCAATGGGAAGGAATACAACGTTGATTTATTTGATCGAGGTTAAAATACGCGTACACCTCAACTTACGACCATAAATTAGAATAGAATAGAAGGGAGCTGGAAGGGACCTTGGAGGTCTTCTAGTCCAGCCCTCTGTTCAAGCAGGAGAAGCTATACCATCCCAGACAGGTGAATGTCGAATAGAATAGAATAGAATAGAATAGAATAGAATAGAATAGAATAGAATAGAATAGAATAGAATAGGAATAGGAATAGGAATAGGAATAGGAATCGGAATAGAATTAGAATAGAATAGAATAGAATTAGAATAGATGGAATGGAAATAAGAATAGAATAGAATAGAATAGAATAGAGTAGAGTAGAATAGAATAGAATGGAATAGAATAGAACTGGAAGGGACCTTGGAGGTCTTCTAGTCCAGCCCCCTGCTCAAGCAGGAGAACCTATACCATCTCAGACAGGTGGATGTCTAGTCTCTATTAATATTAACTGAGCCCAAAATTTCTACTGCTAAGCGAGGACAGTCGCTAAGTGAGTTCTGCCCCATTTTATGTCCTTAAAATAATTTAAGGTTAAGGTTTTAAATCGTGTATCAAACACGACTCACTCAATAACCATCTAACTTAGCAGCGGAAATTCAGGCTCCCATACTCATTGTAAGTTGAGGACTTCCCATAGGCTTAGAGTTTTCAAAACATAGGGAGAAAAAATAAACCCCACATTTTTTTTAAAAGGCTGCCATCGCACCCAAAGAATGATCAATCTTTCTTGCAGTTTCACCCCCTGTCTTTGTTTCTTACATTACATTGGAAGTTGAGCATTAAAAGGAAACTTTGAAACAAATAACCAAAATAAAACAAAGACAGGAAAACAATCAGTCAGTGTAAAGCAGATTTTATTGAGGTGGGAACAACTTCTACAAACAAAGGCAACTACATTTTAAGAGCATGTTAGAGACTGCACAATTTTTTTTAAAAAAACACACACACACAAAGCCAGACAGACAGCAGGCTGATGCTAAGGTATTACCATCCCAGTTTGCTAGAAAACAAAATTTTAAAACAGACACAAGATCGCACAGTGGAGAAATGGGCGCTTGCGTGTTCTGTCTGGTGAGAGACTTTGCGGTCCCCGTGTACAGTATCTTATAAAACAGAAAGAAAGAAAAAGAACAAAAAGAAAGAAAGAAAGAAAGAAAGAAAGATCCACATGTAAACAACGGACTAAACGCAGTCCCGCGTTTATATATGTAAATTGCCCGTTCTTGGGGTTTCTTTATGACAAACCTTTCAACAAAATTATAGCTTCCCCAGACTATTCTATTCTATTCTATTCTATTCACTCTTAGATCCCCTCCCCCAAAAAAAGAGAACAAGAAATTTTGGGAAAATGCTAGAAGGGAAAAAAATAATAAAAAAATAAAACATGCCAGCTATCAATTTAGAATAATCTAGTTCAGAGTGTTTTGAACCGTGTACTGTAGTTTCACGAGAAGCTTTTTAAAAAGGAAAAAAAAAAAGTAGCCGTACTTTCTAGAGTTTTTTTTTTTTAACTTGATGCATTCTGGGGATTTTTCCTTTTTTTTTTTTTTATGAACAGACTTGAAAAAAGTTTGAAATCCAACAATCTACTTTGGAACAGGGCTGATTGGATAAGCCTGTTTTGCCTTGTAGTAGAAAATGTCTTTTGGACATTTTATACTGGAATGTTAATATTCGTTTTGGATCAATACTGCTGTTTTTTCACGCCTGCTACTGTTTTTTTACAGTCTTTTTTCTTTTTTTCTTAAAAAAAAAAACATGTTGCTAAGAGAGCCAGGCAAATCTTTAGCAAGGTTGCTCTCAAACGATCAGCGCATTTAATATATATTATGTTTTTCTAATGCTTAAACCTTCTATGAATGCTTGTGGGCTGCCTTGAGGCAGGGTTTTTCTCCCTCTGAGTTTGCTAACAAGAGATCATTGCTCTTTTACGAGAAAAACACAGATTGAGCTCCGGGCCTTCAGTTAAAAGCAAATAAATGCAATTTTTCTACGTTTTGGAAGGGGAAATGTTTGCTCCTTAGGGGTGTGCCAAAGCAGGCAGGAATCCAACATGAAAAGTCTGTTCACACTGGGGCACCTCTGCCTGGATTAAATACTATTCAATGCAGGCTTACTTTGGCGTAGACACGGACAAAATCACGCAGATTATATTTTCACTCTTGCAATCATTGCTCAACCCTTTAAACATCACCCCCCCCCCCCGAGTTTTTTTCCACCCGTGGCTTCCGTGCAGCAGGGCTAATATTTAAAGGATAGTGAATTTGTCGGATTCCCCCAGATCGCTCCGGATCAAAATGATCTGGGAAATCTGGAAGAAGAATGCAATTCTTCTTCCCTCCGAGAGTCGTGGGTGCTCCATCACTGGAGGTTTTTAAGATGAGATTAGACAGCCATTTGTCTCGAGCAGGGGGTTGGACTGGATGACCTCCAAGGTCCAACTCTGTTAGTCTATTCTACTGCTGCCAAAACTGCCCAGAAGGACCTTTTCTTCTTAGCAGGCTGGCTCATTCCTACGGGGACAGTTGGTAAATAAATGGGCAAAATTAGGGTGACTTTGCAGGCCAAATCTGCCGCCTTTTGGCCTGGAAAGCCTGATCCGTGTCATCCCTAAAGAGCAAAGCGTCGGCCCGCATCCTGGCTCGTGAGGTGGAGATGTCTGGATGAGAGTCAGACTTGCTCGCCTCCCTCCCCACTGGCCCGTCTCCGGTTCATATCAAAAGACCATCCCTGCTGGAAGACCGCATCATGAGGACTGCACTCTTATACTGCCGGCTGTTTCCGTCTTTCCAGCGAAGCCCGGTGGGATCCGAGCAAGCCGAGGTGTAATTGTGAGGCTCACAGTAGATCTGGGATCGTGACCCCTTGATGTTGTCGACTTTCAGCTGGTCGCAGCAAGGCTCCTGGTTGGGGTAGACGCTGCTCCCTTTGGCAGGGTAGTAAGGCTCGGAGATCTCGCCTTGCTCCGAATCCGGGGGCGAAGGGATCTCGAGCGGCAGAACCACGCTGACGTCACTGTCCGGAGGAGAACTCATCTTGACCTGGACGATGGGAGGGGTGTACTTGCGGCCTTGGGGATGCTGGATGCCCTTCGTTTGGTAGCCCAACAAGGAGTGGAGGCTGCTGGCCCGACTGATGACCTGGCTGCAAGGTCGGCTGAGGGGGGAATCAGCATCCACACTGGAGCGGGAAGGAACCGTGGTCAGTCCAGGGAGAGGAGGGAGGGGCAGAAAGAGGATGCTCGGTCAGTCCAGGGAGGGAAAGGACCGTGAGCAACCCAGGAAGAGGAAGGACCACGGTCATCCCAGGGAGAAAAAGGAACGTGGTCAGTCCAGGGGAGGAAAGGACCATGATCAATCCAGGGAAGGAAAGGACCATGATTAACCCAGGAAGGGAAAGGACCATGATCAATCCAGGGAAGGAAAGGACCATGATCAATCCAGGGAAGGAAAGGACCATGATTAACCCAGGAAGGGAAAGGACCATGATCAATCCAGGGAGAGAAAGGAACGTGGTCAGTCCAGGGAAGGAAAGGACCATGATCAATCCAGGGAAGGAAAGGACCATGATCAATCCAGGGAGGAAAGGATCACGATCAATCCAGGGAGAGAAAAGATATAGAAAAAAGGCTAATGATCACTCCAGAAAGAGAAAGGCGCGCAAACAGGAGCAGGAAGAGCAGAAGCACCTGGGAACTGCCAGAAAATATGATAATCGAATCTGTCTTCCGGTTCCAACCAGGGACTTGGGCCTCTTTTCAGGATGCTCCATTCCATACCTTGGTTTCCCTGTCCGCCCCATCCTCCACTGCCACTTCCTCCTCTATCCCCACTGAGTTTCCTCTTTGGAGTCATTTCTGGGACTCCCCCCCCCCTAAGGGATCCTGGGGGTGTGAGAAGCGTCTGGGCTTTTGAGGTGCGGCTGATGGGGGGAAAACCTTGGCTCAGCATTTGCTGGCTTCTAGCCACTGTGCAGCTGCCAGCATTGGCCTCCTGCCCCACCTGTCTGCGACGGAGAAGACGGAAATAATTTTTGGAGCAGGCCATGAAGACAATAGATCTCTCCCTCTTTGCCGTTTCCTCTTTATGCAACAGGGTGCAAAGCACAATAGTTAAGGTCTGAAATTAGGATTAGGGAGACCCAGTTTCAGCCCTAGCTGTGGGAGAGTAAGGGACTCAGTGTTGTTGTTTTTCTTCCTTCCTTCCTTCCTTCCTTCCTTCCTTCCTTCCTTCCTTCCTTCCTTCCTTCCTTCCTTCCTTCCTTCCTTCCTTCCCTTTCTCCCTTTCCTCATTCCAATCTCCTTCCTTCCTTCCTTCCTTCCTTCCTTCCTTCCTTCCTTCCTTCCTTCCTTCCTTCCTTCCTTCCTTTTCCCACTCCCCTCCCCTCCCGTCTCCTCTCCTAACTAGGACCAAGCTTTTTTTTGTTCTTAAAAAAAGAACTTAGGATATAAATTGAACTAATAAAGTCAGAATGAGTCATAAGAATATAAAAAGCAGCTTACTGGACTGGAGTCAGATTCCAGCTAGCCGATCTGCCCAGGCTTTCACCACCTCCTGTGGGAGTGGGAGTTCCACAATTCCTAATCCTCACCTTTGCTCCTATGGACCTCCCTTGTTGCCTTCCGGTGCTGGAAGTGACACAACTTTAAAGGCAGGTATGCTCCCCAATTGAACCTGCACATTTGTGCCTAAAGAGCATTCCCCGTTCCTGCAAACAAAATTACATAAACAGCGCATCTTGCCAGGTGCCCATTACAGTCCTTCAGAAGAAGGAAATTTAATTTTGCTAATGGCTCCCTTTGTGGAGCATGCAAGAACTAGGAGGAAACGGTGAGACAAGAACCGTGATTTAAGAATATACCTTCTGCTCTTCCGTGCCTGCAGCTCACATCAACTTAATTGCTTTTATTATTCATCTGTTTATTCCACACCTTTGTGTGTGTGTGCATCCTTCATTCCTTTTGTGCCAATCAGCGAAGATGTCTTTCCTTATTACTAAGAAAAGTCTCTCTGGATATTTATTATTCATTAATGTGTTAATTTTGTCCCTGGCACTGTAATATTTCTCCCTTTATGGCTTTGCAAATTTTCCTCCTAACGAAAAAAAAAGTCAGGCGCCAAGAGCCCGGCTGATGTTAAGAAGCGAAAAAGGATGGTCCAAGCTGGGCACGTTGTAGAAAGATGCTAGACTAGATTTAAGTGGGTCCTTAAAAAGATCTCTCATCTTTGCTTGGGATCTGAATCGGCTCACTGGTTAAGCCAGGAGGTCTCTCTGCGTGGAGCCCTTGTGCTTTGCTAAGGCCAGTGTGAGGCTGCAGCTCACACGAGGGGCACATCGCATCAGGCCGCCTTTTTCAGTCCGGCCCCCTCCCAAGAGGGGACTACAACTCCCATTGGCAAGGCACCCAAGAGGTGAGCACCCAAATAGCCCTTCCCAAAGGGATTTGAGTTGATGGAGGAGAGAAAAAAGGGGGAGGGAGGGAGGGAGGGAGGGAGGAAGGAAGGAAGGAAGGAAGGAAGGAAGGAAGGAAAGAGGGAAGAAGAGGGGAGGGGGTAGAAGAAGGGAGGGAGCGAAGGAGGGAGGGAGGAAGGAAAAAAGGAAGGAAGGAAGGAAGGAAGGAAGGAAGGAAGGAAGGAAAGAGGGAAGAAGAGGGGAGGGGGTAGAAGAAGGGAGGGAGCGAAGGAGGGAGGGAGGAAGCAAAGAAGGAAGGAGGGAGGGAGGAGAAAGGAAGGAAGGAATTGAGAAGGAAGGCAGGAAAGGAACGAGGGAGGCAGGAAGGAATTGGGAGGGAAGGAAGAAAGGAAGCAAGGAAGGAAGCAACTGGGAAGGAAGGGGAAGTGGGGAAATGAGAGAGGGAGGGAAGAAGGAAAAAGAAGGAAGGAAGGAATGAGAAGAAAGAGGGGAGGGAGGAGGAAAGGAAGGAAGGAGTTGGGAGAGAAGGAAGGAAGGAGGAGGAAGCAAGCAAGCAATTTGGAAGGAAGGGGAAGTGAGGAAATGAGGGAGGGAGGGAAGGAGGAAAAAGGAAGGAAGGAGAAAAAGAGAAAGAAGAAAGGAAGGAGAGAAAGAGAAGGAAGGAAGGACATTCTGGACCCCCGGGAGAGAGCTTTCGGTCCAGTGCAGACCAGAAGACAGGAACTCTGCCAGCCCCCTGGGGCTCCTGGACCCCCGGCCCCCCCTCTTCCCCCCAGGCAGGGCCAAGAGGCTCACCAAATGTCGCTGGCCTTAGTCTGGGAGTACTGCTGATGCGTCTGGGGACTGTCGGAGCCAAAGTTGCAGCAGCAGTCCCAGCAGTAGTCTTTCCCGCAGTAGCAGCTGGGGCACTGCTCCCCACAGCAGCCCCCCGCCTTGCCCCAGCAACACCAACAGCACCAGATCACGCCCCCGATGATGAGCGCCGCGGCCAGCAGCGCGATGATCACGGAGCCCGCGATGATCCAGCCTCGGCCCCAACCTGCAGCAAAACCAAGACGTTGAGACGGGGGGGGGGGGGGCTTCAGCACACCAGACCGGTTTTTTCGGCCACAACAGCCCTGCAGAGTAGGACTTCAGCTAGCCCACCACTTACCGCCATCAGTGGAGTGACCGTTCGGCGTTACCGCTAGCCCTTGAAAAGGTCACTGATGAAGGTGACAAACGGGGACTCCCATGACCCCAAACAGTGCAAAGGGTTTATAAATACAGGCCAGGTGCCAGCGGGATTGACCTTTGATCACGTGGGACGGTCGTAAGTGTGAAAAAAATGGTCATCGGTCACTTTTTTTTCAGCCCAGGCTTGCCACAGTTCGTTTAGTGACCGTTCAGAGTTACGACGGCCCTTACAAAGGTGGCTCATGACCGCTTTTCACGCTTAGCGGCTGTTGCAGGGTTCCCCCGGGTCACGTGATCAAAATTCAGACGCTTGGCAACTGACTCCCATTTATGACGGTTGCAGAGTCACGTGATCCCCTTTTGCAACCTTTGGACAAGTAAAGTCAACGGAGAAAGCCCGATTCGCTTAACAGCCGTGTGACTAATTTAGCAATTGCAATGATTCGCTTAAGGACGGTGGCCGAGAAAACGGGGCAAAACTCCCTTAATAAATGTTTCACTTAGCAACCTAAATTTTGAGCTCAATGGTGGTTGTAAGTCAAGGATGACCTGTCCTGTATCTTCTTCCATTTTTTGGGGTGGGGGGGACTTTAAGCAGTTTGTCGATATTAAAATAACGTTGATATTCTATTACTTTTAAACATTAAAATTACAGTCACAAGGATGTAAGCACTGATGGCTCCACGATTCCTGAAGGCCTTCCAGTTAAGCCAGTTTTTAACCTACTGGGCTGATGAAGACTGGTCCAGCCCAAGCCGGGAATAAACAACGTGATGACTGCTTTAGAAAGAAGGTTTTAGTTTATTCCCGGCTTGGAATTGGACCCTGATGAAGATTTTTCCTTCGATGGGGCTTATACACCATTCCAGTCAACAAATGGTTTATGTACCTCATCTACTCATCATTAAAAAGAGACAAAACCATTATAGTAGCAACAATAACAACAACATGAATTAGTACAACTACTTCAAACTGTTAGCATTGGGAAGCACCACGGTGAAAAATATTTCCCTATAGGACAGTGGTTCTCAACCTTTTTAATGCCACGACCCCCAACTGGTCTTAAGTCGAGGACTACTCAACCGGTCGTAAGTCGAGGACTACTCAACCGGTGCAGCACCGTTTGCAGAATGGGACTTTTGGCGGGCTCAGCAGGGCAGAGACAGCCTGGACAATTCCTATTGGCTTTTGAAAGCCAATAGAATTAGACTCTATTCAACAGAGTCTATTCTACTGGCTTTCAAAAGCCAATAGAATAAAAGGGAGTAGCACAGCTAAGGAAAAGGGGGAAAAAATGGCGGACTGTATTGCTTGGCGACCCCCGTGAAATGGTCGTTTGACCCCAAATGGGGTCCCGACCCACAGGTTGAGAACCACTGCTATAGGAGAAGCTATTCAACTTGTCAGATCTCCAAAGGCTTGCGGAAGCAGACAAGTCTTGATGGTCTCGTGGTATACCAAAAGCACTACACCAGGGATCTTCAAACCTGGCCCTTTGATGACTTGTGGACTTCAACTCCCAGAATGCCTCAGCCAGGCATGCCTGCCTGGCTGAGGCATTCTGGGAGTTGAAGTCCACAAGTCATCAAAGGGCCAAGTTTGAAGACCCCTGCACTATACTGTATCTTCTGAGCAGTTTTGTCTCCGGGATGGAGACACCTGTGCCTGTCCACTGTTTCCCAGCAGCCCTTACCTCCTCCGAACTGAATTTCCACAGAGCAATGAGCCACGCCGACGTTATTGCCCACACTGCACTCGTAGATCCCCACGTGGTCGTCACACAGATTACGGATCTGGAGATCCCCTGGATTGAGACCTGAAGGACGGAGACATGAGCGTTATACAGGGAAGCCAAGAGGTTGGATCTGGGTTTTTGTAAACAAAATAAATAAATTGTGGCGTTAAAGCACTACTCCTGAGCATGTACAGATAGATTTCCATCCAAACATGGAGTGCTCAGGTTGGCTGGGGGATTCTGGGAGTTGAAGCCCACCCATCTTGAAGCATTTTGGCTAGGGAATTCTGGGAGTTGAAGTCCACCCATCTTGAAGCATTCTGGCTAGGGAATTCTGGGAGTTGAAGCCCACCCATGTTGAAGCATTTTGGCTAGGGAATTCTGGGAGTTGAAGCCCACCCATGTTGAAGCATTTTGGCTAGGGAATTCTGGGAGTTGAAGCCCACCCATCTTAAAGGATGCTGGCTGGGGGATTCTGGGAGTTGAAGTCCACCCAGCTGAAAGCTGCCCAGGTTGCGAAACATTGTACTCTTAGATCTGTCTCCAACCTCTGTGTAAAAGAGACCTCACATTCATGTCACAGCCTGTTCCTCATGTACCCTAATCTTCCCTCTTTGCAGTTTTAATCCATCAGTTTTGACCTTGGGGAAATAAATAAACTCACTTCCTTTGCTATGTGGGACCATTTAAAGCTTGTGAGCAATTCTCCTCCTTCCATCACCTCTTCTGCAGAGTTACAATCCAGATCTTTCAACATGGTTTGGCTTGTTTTTCGACACCCCCCCACCCCAGGTTGCCCCTAACTTTTTCATTCCAGCGTGTCCAAAACTGGACCGAGTATTCCAAATAGCGTCTAACCAGGATAGAGTCGTCTGGGGGGGGGGGCAATCACGGATGTCTCCTTTGCCCCTGAAAGCTAACCCTTAGGGGTAGACTTCTCTGGAGCTCAGAAGCTCAACCTATGCCAGCTAATACCTCTGCCCAGATCTCTGCGCCCTCTCTGTCGTATTTCTCCCATTCTCCCATCTAGTGGCAGGGGGTTCCGTAAGCTGGATGTCTAGGCTCACGGCTGATTTCTCCTTTGGCTCCCAACCGCCCCAAGGAGACACTACGGGAAGGCTGACACTCACTGTCTGAGGGCATCCAATCGCGGTAATTGCCGTTTGACATGGACCAGTGGTAGCTGAGCGGCGGGGTCCCCGTGGAACTTAAGCAGCGAAGAGTGATGTCCTCCCCATATATGATCTCACCAATGATCCAGCAGCGAGGAAGGGCTGGTTTTTCTGGGTAGTGAGCAGAGAAAATAAACCAGTTAAGTTTTTCTAATTTGGGGGGTCTGGGACCTTTTGTAAATATGGCTGCTGCCCCACACAAGACCCCTTCCGTGGCTTTGCTCTACAACAACAACAACAATAATAATAATTGCGATGATATCTGTAATATACCATCAAACATCCACATCTGCCTATCCCGGGTCCTTGGTAAGGACTCGATAGGTAGACAAAATGTCAAATCCAGTCTGAACATCTGGATTTGCGCAAGTTCCTCGAAGCTTCTCAAGGACCGTTTCTCAGCCTAATTGGGGGCCCGCCGGCCGAGGAGTACGCGGATCGATAAAGCACACACCCAGTCGGGAAACATCCTCCATGGGGCGGCAAAAACCGGTTGCGTCGCAACTCCTGGTGTGGGTGTCGGTGCAATGAGGTCACGGAGAAGCCCAGCGCCAAAAGACCCTCCAAGCATTTCTTAGCAATCCCACAAAGTCTGCTTTTATTTTTCCTCCCAGGGTTTTGCAAACACGGGAACGTCATTAAGGAATCCTTCCTCATTAAATGAGGACTAGGCAAAATGTTAATTTGGTGTCCTCCACAGCTTGGGGGAGGAGGCCGGTGCCTTGACTGGGTGGGGTGGGTAGAGGTGGGGTGGGGTGGGGGGTCTTACCTTGAACGGTGATGGTCACTTTGCGGGTGGCTTCGGTGGTCTTCTTCACCGTGCACTCGTAGGTGGCGGAGTCGCTAACCTGCAGGTCGCGGAGTTGCATGGAGGCGTCGTAGAGGCTGGGATCGGACGAGGTGAAGCCCACCCGCTTTTGGAAATCAGGCGATCCCGGGTAGAAGATACGGTGGTTGTGATAACCCAGGAGCTGGCCAATAAATAAATAAATAAATAAAACCAGAGGAGAATAATGAAAAGGAAAGGCACGGTGCTGGATGAGTTTGGGCGACCGGGCGCGAGAACCAAGTGGCTAGTCCTCATGAGTCAATAAAAGAAGAAAGAAAGAAAAAGAAAGAAAGAAAGAAAGAAAGAAAGAAAGAAAGAAATTCCGGGCAACAGGTAATGCCTGATTCAGCTTTCAGCAGCTGAGGAATTTCCAGAAGGCTTCCCCAGCGTTGAGATCATTCAGAGTCCACCCATGTTTATCGCCAACCCTGAAGAGATAACGATCTCATTGAAATTGCAGATTGCCAGATGCCAAAGCGAAGAGGCTGGAAGTGTCGCATTTTCCTATCTTCCCTATCTTTGCTCCGTTTAAAAGAGTACACAACGGGTGCCGACAGGCTGCGCTTCTGCCTCCATCCCTCTCGCTTATTGCATCCCTAAACCAGAGAACCATCACATTTGCAAATGGGTTCCTAGCCTGTTTTAGCAGAAACGGTTCAAAACCGTTTTTGAAACCAGAGATTCAAAGCCTGGCGTGGGTCATCATTTGATTTTTTTAATGTATTAAGTTGCGAGGCCCATCGCTCTAGCCAAACAACTCCAGACGGCTTGGTTATGATTCCAATTGTTTTATACTTTTATATCTGTGTAATGAAATTCTCCTGGAGGCCAAAATGCCAAATACACGGACTGAAGCCAATGTTACTTTCATGCCTAAAGAAGACTCTGATTTAACGCAAATAAAAAAAAAAGTTATAGACCAATATCATTATGAAATGTCGATTACAAGAGCTTTGCTCCAATAATGGCAGAAAGACTAAAGAAATTTTGGATCAAATCTATGCACACAGATCAAAATGGTTGCTTACCTAAAAGACGGATCAAAAATAATCTAAGAATGATTCTTGAGGTGTCAGAGTATTATGAAAAATTCATCCAGGGAAACAGATGGCTTTAATGTTCCTTGATGCACAGAAAGCGTTTGCCAACGTAAACTGGCAACAAGGCCCCCCCCTTTTTTTTTGAAGACCGTTGCAACTTTGAACGGTCGCCAAACGAACGAAATACCTGGATTCGATTAATAACAACAATGTGGATTGCAATTACGGAGGAGTCTAAAAAGAATCACGTCTCCAACTCACCGGATTGTATTGGGGGTGGGGTCCTGGTTTCACCTGCCTCCACTGAATATCCCAGTCATTATCCGGAGTGTTATCTTCGGGATCTGAAGAAAAGGGGCACCCCAATTTTACCGACTCCCCTTTAGGCAAGTAAATGACTTTATGTCCATCTTCATTAATCCTGACAGCCAGAGCTGCACCTGATAAAGGAAGGCACACACAAGGTTGCAAATCACACCCCCACTATAAAACTGGTTTCAAAATAAAGTTGTATTTCTAACACAATCGCCCTTCGCTTCGCCCAGTTCCTTGGATAGAGACTTAAATTCCAAATTTCTCCAGGGCTTGATTCACCCAAGCGTCTGGAGGCCCTCCATTCAGACAGTCCTCGTTGAACGACTGCCTCGCTGAGCAACGCTGTACAACTTGACAACCACTCCTTGCCTTTACAATCTTCGCAGGCTGGTAAAGCACAAGAGAGCTGAAGTCAGACTGTAAACACAGTCCCGGTTTCACACACGCCCCCTTGGAGCGCTGTGGGTTGTGGGGGTGATGGTTCGTTCTCCGAGTTTGTGGGTTGGTTTCCGAACATTTGGTTACCAGCTAAGTTACAACTTTGGCGAAGTTAGGGCATGTCAAGTGTTGGTGTTTTTCTGTGGTTTGTGGGTTGTGCTGAGCCATTTGAGTTGGTGTATTGTGTGCTGTGTGAACCCCCTCGGTGCATCAGCAGCCTAGTCAGAAAATCCTGGCCAGCAGGAATTTCTGCAGGATTTGGTTTTCCGAAGACAGCCAAAATTCCCTGCTGGTGTGCCCTGTAGAATTTTGTGGAGTAAAGTTTGTATCACTGTGCCCTTCCCAGACTTTATCATCTGAGTTCTCCCTCTCGCCCCCACTCCGCATATACCCCTGCTTATCAAGCAATGTAATCAAATGAAGATAAAGTACGTTGTCTAAATTCCCCCAGTCCACCAGCTGGACAACTTATGGAAAACAGAAGTTGGGGAACGAATTCACAGCTTCACATATTCACACGTTCTTCCCACCTCTTCATAATCAGTGTATTCTTTACCAGATAATAAACAAGTCAGGTGTTGGCGGACATCAGCCTGGGAGCAAGCAAGAAACGGTCTACCAAAGTGTCCTCAACTTACAGTGTCAAGTGAGTCCCAAACTCCTGTTGCTAAGTGAGGCATTTGTTAAGGGAGTTTTGCCCCCCCCCCCGTTTTATGACTTTTCTCACCACATTTATTAAGTGAATTACCGCAGTTCACCCGTTTCTTGTCATTCTGGCTACCCCATTGACTTTGCTTGTCAGAAATTTGCAAAAGTGGGGGGGGTCACCTGACACCCCCTATCCCGGGACATTGCAACCGTCTTAAGTCCATGCCAGTTGCCAATTGTCTGAATTTTGATCCTGCAACGATGGGGATGATGCAATGGACGTAATTATAAAGGAGACTATTTGTAGCTCAGAGTGGAAACTACGAAAAGCTATCCTAAGGTGCATTTGGCAAGACTGCTGTAACTTTGGACGGTCACTAAAGGAGCTGTCACAAGACGAGGAATGCCTATATTGCTTCCTTTTGCCCTGCCCAAGACAGTGCGCACGAGAAAAAAATTCGCTCTTCCCAGCATCCATCTCCCCAAAATACCTTCCAGGCTTTGGAAACGAGGCCAAGGCTGGTTATTATTATTTTTAATCCTGCCTTTCCGTTAAAAAGCCAAATCACTTCTGGGCTTCCCAGCAAAATTAAAACCTTATCCCAAATATGCCAATTATCTTGCTGGTCTCCCCAAAAATTTTTTTTGTAATAATAATAATCCCACGCCTGTCGAGATTGTGGTCTCGGCTTGCCAAAAGTGGCGGATCTCCCGCCTGGATTGTTTTGCTCAGCTTAGTCATCCAGGCTTCAACAAGTGAGATCTCGGCGGACGATAAGATAATGCCAGCCCTACAATGATCATTAGCGACCGCTCTGTAACTCGTTTCTCCACTGTGTCTAATAATTAAGATGATGGCAGGCTATCCCCTTGTAAAGCTCTTTGTTTACAGGAACTAAGTCATTTTCTCCTCCGTGGCGGAGAAGCTGTTTTGCGGCTTCCAGATGCCAGGGAAACTTAAAAGCTTGTTCGTTATGTTTTCGTTATTTCATTTTATGGCCAGTATCAGAATGGGAAGAAATATTTGTGGCTCAGGGCTGACGTGGGGAGACCTGGGTGCTTTCTGAGCAGACCTTTCGTGACCCAACTAGATAACGTCATCTGTGCTAGACGGGGATGGGAATTGTAAAAAGGAGGAGGACTGTGGGTTCCTTAGTGCTCTCTGAGCTTATTTTCTTGCAGACGTTTCATTACCCAACTAGGTAACATCAACAGTTACCTAGGAGGAGGAAGAGGAAGAGGAAGAGGAGGAGCTGTGGGACCCTTAGGTCTCTCTGAGCTTGGTTGTTTTCTTGCAGATGTTTCATTACCAAACTAGGTAACATCAACAGTGCTAGATGAGAATTGGAATTGCAAAGAGGAGAAAGAGAAGGAGGAGGAGGAGGAGGAAGAAGAAGAAGAAGAAGAAGAAGAAGAAGAAGAAGAAGAAGAAGAAGAAGAAGAAGAAGAAGAAGAAGAAGGAGGAGGAGGAAGAAGATGAAGGTGAAGGTGAAGAAGAAGAAGAAGAAGAAGAAGAGGAGGAGGAGAACTGTGGCTCCTTAGTGCTCTCTGAGCTTGCTTATTTTCTTGCAGACGTTTCATAAGCCAGCTAGGTTATATCATCAGTGAGAGAAGGGAGTGGGGATTGTGGACTCGGAAGAGTAGTAGTAGGAGAAATATTGTGGTGTCTTTGATGCTCCCTGAGTTTCTTCCAAACTTTTCATGATCCAGCTAGGTAACATGATCAGTGCAAACCCACTCCCTTCTAGCACTGATCTAGTTGGATCACGAAACATCCGCAAGAAAGTGAGGGTTTGACCGGACCCCACTTCACAAAACCACAGAGACTCGAGTGCAAGTTTGAAGGCAGCAACAACAAAGCAGAATTTGACGTCACAAAAAAGGACGGGAATAAAATCCACCCGAGTGGACTGTGGTGAGTGGATCGTAGTTCATTGGTTGGATGGTTCTTAAAAACTCAATTGAAGGGATTTATACAGTGATGGTCTCAGAGCTGGTAGCTTTGCCTCCGATTAAACCTCCAGCAGATTGGAGATGGAGAAAATGAGTGGGTAAATATTGCAATATCTGATCGTGCCGCTGAGGCTGTTGAAATGAGGCAACACCTAGCTAACCTTGGCTCACCTGGGCAAGGTTAACAGGGACAGATTTGGGAAGCTGTAAGAGATCTTGGAAAAAGGCCAAGACATCAACTTTTGTGCACTTGCCAAGAAAACAAAAGGAACGTGGCAAGAATAGAATAGAATAGAATAGAATAGAATAGAATAGAATAGAACAGAGAACAGAGAACAGAATAGAACAGAACAGAGAACAGAGAACAGAGAACAGAATAGAATAGAATAGAATAGAACAGAGAACAGAGTAGAATAGAATAGAATAGAATAGAATAGAATAGAATAGAATAGAATTCTTCATTGGCCAAGTGTGATTGGACACACAAGGAATTTGACTTAAGGAAAGCATAACTTTTTAAAAAGAAAACAAAAGAGGATTAAAAAGTTGGTTTTCTTTCCTTTTTTCACTTACCCAAGGACAAAGAAATTAAGAAAGGAAATGGCTGTGCAAGGAAAATTACAATACAATCTCAGCAGATTCAAGTAAAATGTCAAAGGCTGAATATAACTAATCCCTTAAAATAGGGGCAGCTATTGAGCTATTCCTCAATTATTTACTCATAATTCTCTGTATCTTGTCTGTGTCTCAATTCACAGTGAGAAAAAGCACCAAACATAATCATGACTTGCAGACAATTGTCCTGGAATAACAATAACAACGTTCTCCATAATAGTCCTTTGGAGGGAGATAAAGGAAACTGGACTCAAATTTTTCTAATCCAGCATTCTAATTACTACTCCACACTGCCTCTTTCTCGAAAAGTGGCCCTTTTTAATTGCTTGTCCTAAGACAGGACCTTGGGGGTGTTGGCCTCATTCTGTTCCAATCTTTTGCTCCTCTTTCCAGGTTTTGTTTGCAACCAAAGAAGGAAATCCAAGAATTATTAAACCAGTGTTTTCAAACTTGTCCATTTTCAGATGGGGTGGGGGACTTCATCTCCCAGAATTCCCTACTCAGGATGATGGCTGGGGAATTCTGGAAGTTGAAGTCCACCCATTTTGAAGCATGCTAGTTGGGGTTATCTGGGAGTTGAAGTCTGCACGTCTTAAAGCATGCTAACTGGGGGATTCTGGGGGTCGAAATCAACCCATCTCAAAGCAAGCTGGATGGAGGATTCTGGGAATTGAAACCCACCCATCTCAAAACATGTTGGCTGGGGGGGGGGGTTCTGGGGGTCGAAATCTACCCATCTCAAAGCAAGCTGGGCAGAAGGTTCTGGGAACTGAAGTCCACCCATCTGAAAGCTGCCAAGTTTTGAAAAGCCCCGGATTAAAGAAATGGAGACATCGCGAAAATAAATAAATCCACGCATCTTACTTACCTATAAGAATGCAGGAGATTAAAAACCGTAATCCTTTGCTACTTTCCATGTCCCAACGAGACGGTAGCTGGATCCAAGGCAGATCTTGGCACAGAAACCCGGAGCCCCACAATTTTTTAACTCCCCCAGTTCGGTCCTTCACGAGCTGGTTTCGAACAGGCAAGGGAGGCACCTCCAAACTGTAAAACTAAGCCAGAGAAATTGCCTTTGAGGTCCGGACACGCTCGGCAATTATGCAAGACATTCCTCTCCATGGTTTTCCACCCACAGCCATTCTGATCCCCAATCTGTCAATTCCCTTGGCCGTCAGTCAGTTTCAGTTTCTCATTTTTTATTTTTAGGAGACACGATCCCGGCTTTTGAGTGTGCAGCGATTTTGATTTCGGAAGTTTAGGCTAAATTGGGGAAGAGACCCCCTGGCTTGTTTTAAGAAGGTTGTGCTTTCATAACAATTGCGTTTCAAGGCAAATCTGCAACCAGGGTGATGTGGGGTCGGTCTGTCTCCCTCCCCTCTCTCTCCCTCCCTCTCCCCCTCTCCCTCTCTCCATTTCTCTCCCTTCCTCCCTCTCCCTTCCTCCCTCTCCCTTCCTCCCTCTCCCCCTACTGTCCTCCCCTTCTCTCCCTTCCTCTCCCTCTCTCCCTTCCTCCCTCTCCCTTCCTCCCTCTCCCCCTACTGTCCTCCCCTTCTCTCCCTTCCTCTCCCTCTCTCCCTTCCTCCCTCTCCCTTCCTCCCTCTCCCTACTCCTTTCTTCCCTTTCTCTCCCTCTCCCTCCCTCCCTCCCTCTCCCTCTCCCCTACTCCTCTCCCTCCCTCCCTTTCTCTCCCTTCCTCCCTCTCCCTTTCTCCCTCTCCCCTACTCCTCTTCTTTCTTCCCTTTCTCTCCCTCCCTCTCCCTCTCTCCCTCCCTCCCTCTCCCTCTCCCTCTCCCCTACCCCTCTCCCTCGCTCCCTTTCTCTCCCTTTCTCCCTCTCCCTCTCCCTTCCTCTCCCTTTCCCTTCCTCCCTCTCCTTCTCTCCCTCCCTCTCCCTCCCTCCCTCTCCCCCACTCCTCTCCTTTCCTCCCTTTCTCTCTCTCTCTCTCTCTCCCTTCCTCCCATTCCCTCCCTCCCTTTCTTCCCTCCCTCTCCCCCTCTCTCCTTCTCCCTCTCTCCTTCCGTCTCTCCCTCCCTTTCTCCCCTTCCTCCCTCTTCCTCTCCCTCTCCCCCTTTCCCTCCCCCCTCTCCCTCTCTCTCTCTCTCTCTCTCTCTCTCTCTCCCCCCCCCTCTCTCTCTCTCACACACACACACATTAGACAGGCTACCTTGCAGGATGGCTCTGTTAGGAAAAAATTAGGAGGAAGGCATATTATCTATGCCACCTCAATTTCCCGAAAGGGAAGTGAGCTATAAAACTAATGAATAAATTCAACGGGCAAAGCCAATGTGCTTCCCAGCATGCATTTTCTTTTCCATCCAAGCTACGTTCGGCCCTTCTCAATTCTTCCTCCCTGTCCTGTTTGATTTAATTTTATTTTGCTGACCAATGATTTTCTTGGGGGCAAGACAAACTATTATTAGTGGGGGATGCAATGGCAGAATTGCACTGGACCCCCGCGTCCTGTTGAGATTTTTATTCCCTTTATATATAGATAGTCCCTTTGTTTGGAGACTGTTTGAAGTTGCAACAGCCTCGAAAAAAGTGACTTGTTTATTTATTTATTACATTTCTACGAAGTCACAGAGACTTCTAAATTTCTATGACTTTAGGACTGGTCCTCGCACTTATGACCGTATTTACAATGGTTGCAGCATCCCAAGGTCACCTGATTGCCATTTAGAATAGAGTAACAGAGCTGGAAAGGTCCTTGGAGGTCATCTAGTCCAACCCCCTGCTCAGGCAGTAAACCCTATTTCAGACAAATGGTTGTCCAATCTCTTCTTTAAAACTTCCAGTGTTGGACCGCTCACAACTTCTGGAAGAAAACTTCCCAGCCAGCTTCCGACAAGGAAAGGCAGTGCGATGTCTCATTTAATAACCCCTGGAGATTCAACTAACGACTGCATCCAAAAAAGTTTTAAAATTGGGAGTGGTCACATGACACCCCATTTAACAACTACACTGTTTAACAGCAATTTTTCCCGTCCCAATTGTGGTCGTTAAGTTCAGGACTACCTGTAGAATATCCAGCTATCGACAGGCTGGTGGATAGATTTATCCCCAAACCCTCAAGCTTGCAAAAAAAATTAGAACTAAAAATTAAACCAGTTTTGTTCCTTGTAACATTAGCACATCCAGGGACCTTGAACAACAAAACCACCATATGCAGCTTTATAGTATAACCCCGAAACACCTGAGCAATTGTTATAAAAAGTTGTGTCCGCAACAGGGACCTTCCTAATAAATCAAATAAAGAAATCACACACATACACACACACACACACACAAAAACCCTAAATAAAACTGGAAAGTGAACCCCATTGGTGTAAATTAGGCTTCCAATTTGAGGATCAAATTACATGAATGCCTGAAATCAAATTCTATCCACTCCGCCTCCCACACAGACACACAAATGCACAAACACACACCCTGTTTTAAAGAACTAGCTTGCAGAGAATTAATTTGACTCTATCTCTGGAGCATCTCCATTAGCATCCGTCATTAAATACTCTGCCGTTGATTTTAAATGACTGCTCCAAATAATTTCAGCCCAGCCTGTTTGGGCTCGGCGGAGCACCTTCCCCCTTACTCAAAATTAATCTCCAAATCCTTGCAAGTAGAAAAGCAAGAGTGTCAGGGAGAAGGCTCGCCTTGACCTGCTAGATTTCTACATCTCTTGGTTTGCAAGGGGTTTTCCTGCCCTCCCGTCTCCCGCTTGCCAGCCTCTTCTGCCTTGCCAGGATTTGCAGCGGGTACCTTGTTCCTCGCCGGCGGTGCGGTGTGCCCTCAGCTTTCTGCCCTGCCAGGATGGATGCCACTGGCCTTCTAACAGCCAGCTCGGGAAGGAAGAGGGGGAAAAGACACCTGTACCTTGCAATTAGCTCGACACCCCGGAGCGAAGAGGGTGGCGCCTTTTTAAAATACCAAATCAAGATATGATTTATGGAGCGGAGGAAACTGGCGTTTTCGGATGCAGCACGGGGCAGGGTGAGTGGAGTAAGGCGTGAGGCATTTTTTCAAGGCTTCCCCGTCATGTCACAAAACTGCACGCCAAATTTAGCAGGCGTGCGACACACAGTTGCTCCAGCCCTACCCAAGGCGCTTGCAAATTAGGCCATATGCTCCACCAGCCTCTCTCTCTCTCTCTCTCTCTCTCTCTCTCTCTCTCTCTCTCTGCTTACAACCTCCCTTACAGGTAGGCACGAAAGACAGGGTGTCCTCTGCCCTGTTTGTGAAAATTATGCCAGCCTCAGCAGGCGGAAATCAACGGGATCAAAGACTTCCAAGAAAACTGCCTGCCTTGCCAAATTGCCTGCAGTCCCCCGGTTAGAACTTTGCATTCTTTTTTGCCACCCTGAGGACCAGCAACTTGCATGGTTTGTTTTTTTTTTAAAAAAAGACTTGCAACGTGCAGGTTAAATGTGCATGTTTCTCACCTTGCCAAATTCTAGGACTCAGGAGTGCCATTTGAGGAAGGAAGCATGAATAAAAAATTGGTAGCCAGCTAAGCCATCCGGGATGTGTATGAAACAGGAAAGCATACAAATTCTACCTGGAGTAAATTAGCATGTCTAGAATTGTCCAGCAGGATGCATTCGGCAACGTTTATTAAAAATAATTCTCGACTTACAACCTTTCATTTAGCAACCGTTTGAACTTATGACGGGGCTGAAAAAAAAAAGCAACTGATGACCGGTCCTCGCATTTACGACCGTCAGAGTGTCCCCTGTGGTTGTGCAATTACGACGGGTGTGTATTTACCACAATTGCAGCGTCCTGGGATCACGTCATCCCCCTTTGCAACAGACAAGCAAGCCAGATTCGGTTAATGACTGACAATTTACTTAACAACGGCAGGATTTGCTTAGCAACCGTGGAGAAAAGGTTGCTAAAAGGAAATTCTGCCCCAGTTGTGGCCCTGCCTGTATCACCTTTTCGAGATCAAAGGCCTGGTTTTATTATCTGTTTGTGGCGCAACAAATCCATTCGTTTATTTAAATTGGTCCCAATTGTTCCCATCTCCTTCGTGAAGGAACTCCAGAGCCTAAACCAAACCGAAAGTTAATTGCTTCATGGTTGCAGGTTGTTTACACAATTGCATAACAATCTCAGCTCTGTTTCGAAGCCATATTTTCATGTGGTTCCCTTCTGCTTAGATTTACATATGAATGTTGCTAAACGGACAGGATGGCTCTGTTCGTCTCTGGCACTCGTCACGAACACGTTCACAGACACTCCTAAAAAAATTGTTCTGCCTGTTTCTTTTACACACACACACACACACACACACACACACACACACACACACACGGCCATTCATTTCCTCTAACAGAAGCCCAGTGGGATGAAAAAAAAATTGAAGTTCACACTCAAATTAACCAGGGGGCCAAGGGGCGCAAAACTCAAAACGGAGAGAATGCAAATGTGTTTTATTTACCTATTTAATTAATGGATTTATATGCCACCCATCTCCCTGTTAATTGACTATGATGTAAGGTCGGACTGAGTGTTGCCTATTAACTTTTGAACATAAGATTCCTAGGTCTGGAAAGGGACCTTTGGAGGTCTTCTAGTCCAACCCTCTTCGCAAGCAGGAGATCCTATACCATTGAACGCTATAGGATCTCCTGTTTGAGAAGGGGGCTGGACTAGAAGACCTCCAAGGTCCCTTCCAGTCCTAGGAGTCTATGTTCTACAGTCGTTTCTTAAAAACCTCCAGTGATAGAGAACCCACAACTTCTGGTGGCAAGTTGTTCCACGGGTTAATTTTTTCTCACTGTCAGGAAATTCCTCCTTAGTTCTAGGCTGCTTCTCTCCTTGATTAGTTTCCATCCGTTGCTTCTTGTCCTGCCTTCAAGCACTTCGGAGAATAGCTTGACTCCCTCTTCTTTGGGGCAGCCCCTGAGATATTGGAACACAGCTATCATGTCTCCCCTAGTCCTTCTCTCCATTAAACTAGATATACCCAATTCCAGCAACCATTCCTTCGTATGTTTTAGCCTCCAGTCCCCTAATCATTTTTGTTGCTCTTCTCTGCACTCTTTCCAGAGTCTCAACATCTTGTTTACATTGTGGCAACCAAACCTGGATGTAGGATTCCAAGTGTGGCCTCACCGAGGCCTTGTAAAGCAGTGCTAACACCTCACCTGACCTTGATTCTATCCCTCTGTTGCTGCAGCCCAGGACTGTGTTGGCTTTTTTGGCAGCTGCAGCACACGGCTGGCTCATACGTA